ACATCTCTAGTCAAAATAATTGGTCTCAAAATGCCTTCTCTTGTGGCATGAATTCCAGGTGTGATGACATTTTTTAGGCAGGCCGGAGCCTAAGAGACCTTTAAATACGAAAAACAAAAACCCCAAATCATGCACCTAAAATTCAGAACTCCACAGAAAGGACCTTTTCCTCCACCAATTTCTTTTCCTCTACCAATTTCACTGGAAGCAGACTGTTGTGCTAGGAAACACCACCCACATGATTATGAATCTTTCCAAAGCAGTTTCTCTCTTTCCCTAAAAATCCCTAAAGTTCCCCAAAAAAATTTCTTTATTGTCCCCATACCACTTCCACCTTCAGAACATATCCAGACAAAAGCCATTTGTCAATTCCTTCTGGTTCTTTCAGTTCAGGACTCCGTTAAGTGTGCATCTGCTTAACGTGGGGGGATAAGAGGTTGTTCAATTGGCAGCAGAGCAGTGGGCTGGGCAGGAGAGGTGCCTTCTCCAGTGTGTGCACAGGGTGGTTCTGCTGACTGCAAGGGCTCACACAGCAGGGAAAAACCAAAATGCCATCCCTGCTCTTGCTATTGGCAGCTGTTCTCTTATCACCAAAGAGAATTTATCACACCACTGACAGATGCTGAGATTCAGAAGCCGGAGCTGAAAGCCAAAGGGATTGATTCGAAAAACAAAAACAACCCCTGAAAAAAATGGGGGGGGGGGGAAAAAAAAAGAAAGCTAGGAAGAGCCCTACCAAACCAAGTCACTTAAGTGCACACATCACACAGCATCACTCCATGGGGAGAGGACAGAGAGCAGAGCCCCCACACAGATGCCAGCAGCTCTGACTGCGGCACTCCTGGAAGCTGCTCAGTGCTAAACCGAGGAGCTGCAGGAAACCACAGAGAGCTTGGCGACAAAATTCCTCCTTGTGGGGACAGTGAGAGAAGTCCTTCAGGGAAGAGGATCTTGAAATCAAGCTTTCTTGGCATTAAAGTCATTAATGAACACAAGATGCTTGCATTCCTAATGGGCTGTCATGAAGGGAATTGGTGGATCAGGGCTGTCCTGGGATTTCTGTTCTTGCACGCACACACACGTACACACACTTTCTCTTTCAAAGCTTCTTTGACTCCTACAAGGATACAAGTCTTAGCTTCTTACATGTGACTCCACTGCGTACCAACATCCAGGAATCCATTGCACAGCTGCTGTGGCTGCTTCCAAGAGCTGGAGACAAGACTCCTGTGCTGTACACGAAAAGGGGCTTTAATATCTCCCCTCCCGATGTCACAATGGCCCGGTGCTCGTGGACACTCCATGCACAAGAACAGCTTCATGGTCTCTGTGGCCATAAAACAGCGCCTCTGCTTCATCCACAAGTTTTGCCAAATTGCTGCACAAAGCATTCCGATATATCCCTTCTGCTTCCTGTCCCCAGGGAAAACATAATTGTGTTTATCACAGGCAAGAAACCCCTGAGCTATCCACCAGCACTGCTGTAGGCACAATGCAGAGGAAGACATGCAGTGCCTTCCACCAACACTCCCAGGTGCATTCTCCTAAGGCAGCCTGACAAAACGTTTAATCCCTGGGCACTAATCTGTCTTTTCTGGAAAACTCAGAGCAAGCTGAATTCTCCCAGAGCAGCGGATTCCAACAGCGGGGAAAGGAGTCCCAGAGCACCTCCCATTTCCTTACTTGTAACGTGGAAAGCCCCCGAACAAAACTCGGAGGAGGCATTTTTCCGGGCACTTCAGAAGAGGACCACACTGGGAGCCACGGCAATTTTAGGAACACCAGCACCACCCCGATGTGCACTGCTAGTGGCCTGCAGTGGGGTGAGCCCCGAAGTGTACGGAGTGAGGATGAGGATGAGGAGGCAGCTGGCGGGAGGCAGGCCAGGTGCGGCGGCAGGACGGGCGGTGGCGTGGAGCGAGGCTGACACCTGCAGGGCGAGCTGGGCAGGAGCGGGAGGAGGCTCAGCCACCCCCTCCCGCCCCGCAGCACGGCCGGGACCGGCCGGCTACACACAGGGAAAGCAGGGAAGGAAAAAACAGTTCCAGTGCCTCAAAAATCAGCACCGAGATTATTTCCACCCTTTCGGGTTTAAAATTGAACCACTTTGGGGACTGCTCACATTCTGCTATCAACATTCGACATATCTGGCTGGGATCATTGTTCTGCCCCCAGGGTTGCTGCCTGGAAGACCAGAGCATAAACGGAGCAGGGCACAAACAGATCCTGGGATCTCACATAGTCCAACCAGGTTTCCTTAGCGGCTCGGCTCTAGGTTTCCAGTGGCAGAGCCCCACCCCTCTTGTTCTCTACGTTCTCCGGTCCGGAGCCGCGGAGCCCTTGGCCAGGGTCAGGTCACGGCTCCTTGCCGAGGGCGCCGGCCACTCCTCCGCCCCGGGCACTGCAGCTGCCCCCTGAGCTGCCGGCTCTCCGTGTGCTCCTCAGCAGGCGGGCCGGGCGAGCAGGGACAGGTCGGCTCCTGGGTGACCTCCTCAGGCACCTCTCTGAAAGCCTTCCCTACCTCTGTCTGCACAGCTGACTTCAGTCCCAACAGGAAACCATGGAACCTCTCAAGCGCATTCATCTTTCCTCCCAATTAATCTTATCTGCCAGTTAAAATTCCAGATCCAGTGTAGGAATTAGGGCAAGCTATTTACTTACCCAGGAAGGTCAATTTAGGTCAAAGCTACCTCGCACAGATGGCTAATTTCAATCCCTTGCACATACAACACAATTGTTCAATAAGCTCAAAATAAATAGTGTAAGTAATTAATTTAAAGCTGCCCTAATTGTTTCTCAATTTTCCCTATTAATTTAACCTACAACACTCCTCCTATCAAAGCTTCAAAGCTCTAACTTAACAGCCAATTAAAGCTTCTTTAGGAGGGAAAAAAAAAAAAAAAAGTGCTGTCATCGCCGATTTCTTCTGATTGAATCCCTTGAAGCACTTGGGAGTTCATTTAAATTGCACCGGGCTTAGAACCAAAGCGCTTTTTGCAGGTATAATGTTCTCGGTAAGCTAATGAGACAATGGACGATTAAGATTAATTACGGTTTTTAACTCGGTGTCAACTTTCTGATCACCCTTTGGCCTGAAGAAAGTGGTTTGACACTGGAGCAAAGAAGACATCTCTGGGTCTGTCAGCAGAGCTGGCAGGAGTGCACACAGTTCTCCCCCACCTCACTGAGATCTGGGGCTCTCTGCTCCTGCCGCAAGAGCTGCGGCTGAGGATCTCCCTGCACAAAGTGTTTTCTCTGTGCTTCTTTCCTAAATCAGTCTTACTAACTCCATTAGTAGCAAGCTTGGGTGAATGGGGGATCCTGAACCAGAGAAGCAGTATGGAACAGGAAACAGAAACCAAGTAAAACAGAAATTAACTATTCCGGGTCAGGCTCCAAATACATCCCGGGAAGTTGAAACACAACCAGCAACTTAAAGCTAAGCCTGCTCAGTTATCATTGTGAACAGGATTCCTCTGAGAAACTCCAGGGCCCTGGGGTTACCTGAGGGGAAAAAGGTACCCAGTGCACCGAGCAGCTGAGCAGGAGGGAGGAGGAGCTACCAGCAGGTCTGCAGGGGCAGCAGCAACAGCACTCTAAGGACATGAACAGGAAGAAATCTCAGTGTATGATTGATTGAGACAAATAATCAAGGGCTGCTGCTGATCAAATCCAACTTAATTTGGGGAACCGAATGGTGTAACACAAATCTGGGGGTCACGCAGCACAGCTGGTTCTGTTGAACACCTGGCCTTGACTGTCGGTGTGGATTTTCAACTCCCCTCATCCCCATCTTTTACTTCACATTACACATCTCTGCCATGGGAAAACCCCACACACTGCTCAAGCCGTTTGGTTTAATGAGACCAAAGACCTTTGCAGGGGCCTTCCTGGCACAGTACTGGCAGGGAGGGCCAAGTGAACCAGGAGGATTACCCTGTGGCACACTTGTCTGCAACTTTTAAACCAGAAGTTTTATTATAGCCAGGGAATTACTTCTTTTCTCCATTCCCCCACTATTTCCTCTTCTTCTTCTTCTTTTTTTTTTTTTTTTTTTTTTTTTGCCAAAAGTATTAAAAGCAGCTGGTACACAACATATAACTTTTCTTACTGAGTCAATGCAAACTCTTGGAAGAATCTTCCTCACTGCTAAGACTTTTTCGGTACTTCTTAGAGTACACAGAGAAACCCTCAAAATGCTAGTAATCATGATCTCAGTTAACCAGAGATTGCTCTCACGCAGTGCAATTGCAATTCCCAGAGGGAATGATAGCCCTCGGTGTTGTTAGGCTGGACAGGTGTGTTCCTGGCCTCTCTCACTGAGGTTTGCAGACTCGGGCCTACCTGAGAGAACGCCTGACTGGCCCAAAGGCACATCTCTGTTGTTTCGGAGGGCCAAAGGGCCCGGGGGGGCCCAGGGGGTCCCCGTGGGTTCAGAGGTTCTGAGGAGTCCTGGAGGGTCCTGGAAGGTCTGAGGAGTGTGAGGCACCGCAGGGTTGTGAGGGATCCAAGGTACCTCAGGGAAGCCTGGAAGTCTGAGGGGTCTGGGAAGGACTGAGCTGCCTCAGGGCATCTCAGAGGGTCGTGAGAGTCTGAGAGCTCTGAGGGGCCCCGAGAGACTGAGATGCCCTGGGGGGTTCTGGCAGGTCTGGGGGATCTGAGGCACCTCAGGGGTCCCTGAGAACTCCAAGGCACCTCAGGGAGTCCCAGAAGTCTGAGGGCTCTGAGGGTTCCCAGGGGTCTGAGGGCTCTCAGGGGCCCCGGGGGTGTGATGGCTCTGACGCTCCATGGGGGTCTGAGGGGCTCCTGCGGGGATCCCGAGGCTTTGAGAGCTCTGAAGGATGCCGGGGTCCATCCCAGAGCTCTGAGGGCTCTGAGGCGGCTCTCGGGCGCCCCCTGGCGGTCACTGCCGGCCCAGGACGAGGCTGAGCCGCGCAGTGACGCCATCGGCGAGCGCCGCGTGGTGACGTCATCACGGCCGTTCCGGCGCCGCTCCCGTTCCCGCTGCCGGCCCTCGGCCCGTGAGGGCGGCTTGGGGCGGTCCGATGCGGCGGCGGGCAGGATGCACCAGAAGCTGCTGCGCAGCGCGCACTACATCGAGCTGGGCAGCTACCAGTACTGGCCGGTGCTGGTGCCCCGCGGCATCCGGCTCTACACGTACGAGCAGATCCCGGTGTTCCTGAAGGACAACCCCTACATCACCGATGGATACCGCGCCTACCTGCCCTCACGCCTCTGCATCAAGAGGTGAGCGCGCCCCGCGGCCCCGGGCCTCCCCCGGCCCCGCCGCCGCTCACCGCCTGCCCCGCCTTGTGTCTCCTCTCCCTCAGCCTCTTCATCCTCTCCAACGAGACCGTCAACATCTGGAGCCACCTGCTCGGCTTCCTGCTCTTCTTCACGCTGGGCATCTACGACCTGACGGCCGTGCTGCCGGCGGCCGGCGCCTCCCGCGAGGACTTCGTCATCTGCTCCGTCTGCCTCTTCTGCTTCCAGGTGGGCCCCGGCTCCGCTCCGCGGCGGTGTCGGGCCGCTCCCGCTGGGCCGCCTCGGCTCGCTCCGGGCACGGCGGCGCTCTTCGAGGGCAGAGCCGCTGCGGGTGGCTCGGATTTGGCCTGGAATAAGCTGGGGGAGACTGAACCGCATACGGCTGGCATAGGAGGGAGTCAGTGGCAAACAGAGCCTCCACAGCGCGGACGCGGCTCCAGGCGGCACCGGCTGCTGCTGGAAAGGGCCAAGCACCGGAGCAAGGAGATCAGCCATGGCCTGATGGTCGGGAAGGGCAGGAGGGCTGCTGGCCTGACTTGGTACTTGTCAGATAAATCTGTTTCCACGGCAGACTTCAGGCGTGTCTGTGCAGGGCCGCTGCAGCTGCTGTGAAGTGCACTGTCCTGGCAAGAGCACAGAGAGCTAAAGGCACCGGCTGTGTTCTCTGCTTGGCAAAGGATGCCTTCGTACAGCCCCAAGTGGGGAGAACTCCCTGCCTGGCTGGGAAAACACTGCTCTAGTGCTCCTCCCTGCTCCTGCAGCAGGTCACAGAGAACCAAAACACTTCTCAGGGAAAAGATTTTAAGCCAACCTAGGAGCAAACAAGCAGCTTGTGTGTACGAGTTATATTTCTGTGTGTTCCCTCAGTAAAGGCACGTGGTGGCTGGGCAGTCAGGGCAGATTTGGGCTTTGGGCTCTGCCTGGGGCAGTTTGGCCCAGCAGAATTCATCCTCCCCCTGCACTGGTGCCGATGTGTCTCCCTGGAGCACTGGCAGCTCGCTGAGCCTCACGAGCCTACTTTCCTTACTTGTGCAACTGGTTATCATGGTTTACAGTGTCCTGCTCCTCCTCCCCACTGCCAGTGAAACTTGCTGGCTGGCTGGCTGGCAGGGATCACAAGTGCCTGCACCAAGGTGTGCCACACAACACGTCACAGGCTGGGCACCTGCTCTGGCTGCAGAGCTGAAACCTGCTGTGCCCCCTACTCCTTCGTAAGGAATTAACCCTCCTCCTCCTCTGTGCAGGTCTGTATGCTTTGCTCAGTAGGATATCACCTGTTCTGCTGTCACCGCTCCGAGAAGACCAGCCGGCGCTGGATGGCACTGGATTATGCGGGAATTTCCATCGGGATCCTGGGCTGCTACGTGTCAGGCGTGTTCTATGCCTTCTACTGCAGTAACGTGAGTCAGGAGCATGTGTCCTTGCAGGGTTTGTTCAGTTTGTGTGCTCTCACTGTGGTTTCTGTGCTGGAGCAGCGGGGTTCAGTGCAGGTGTCCAAATAGAACAGGAGTGGAGAGACAGGGATGGGAACTGGAACACGTCCCTCTGACCTCAGCAGAACTGTGCTGGCTGAAGAGACAGGCAAATACAGGTTTTTCTTTCCAACTGTTCATTGCACAAGCCTCAAGAAAATATTTAAATTTCTCTCAAGGGAGGGAAACTTTACAGGTCCTACCTGTATCCAGTGCCTGAAGCACTGGATCATGGGATGTGTCCCACCACAGCAGTTACTCAAACAGCATTGCCTGTGAGGTAGCTGCTATGAGGCAAAACCACCTTTGCTTTCTCTCCCTCTAATTGAAAATGAATAAATGAGTTCCCTCTCGAGGCCTGCTGTGGACCTGGCTGTCCAGGAGCTGCACTGGGCTGGGGAGGCACAGGTGCACTGAAAACATTTTGTGCAGGTCGTGCTTGGAATACAGGATGTAGTGCCCTTGAACAACAGAGTCCCTTTCCCTCAGTGCCAGCTGACAAACACAGGGCCCTGCACTCGCAGCGGGGACAGGCTGAGGTATCGCTGTGCTCAGTCACTGAAACTTTCTGCCCACAGCTGACTTTTTCACGTGATAAGAAACCCACAACCTTGCCTTTGTTTCTTTTTGCCCTCAGTACTGGCGCCAGGTGTACTTGATCACTGTGCTGGCCATGATCCTGGCAGTGTTTTTTGCTCAGATCCACCCCAGTTACCTCACACAGCAGTGGCACAGGCTGCGCTCCGTCATCTTTTGCTCCGTGTCTGGCTACGGAATCATTCCCACCCTCCACTGGGTTTGGCTCAATGGCGGCGTCGGTGCATCCATTGTACAGGTAAAAAAGAAAGGGAAGGAAGTAAGATTGCCTTTTGCTTTTCACTTGCTGTCCTCGAGTCCTCTTACACTTGGGGAAACAATGGAAAAGCAGGAGTTAAAATTCCTCTAAGAACAGAATTCTTTTGGTCAATATGATCCAAAAGGGAACGCTGAGAAATGTGTTGAGCGTGGATAGGCAGCTTGGGAAGCTTCACTCTGCCCTAAAGCTGTACAGGAGATCCAGGTGTGTCTGCCTGGGCACGGAGCAGCCTGTGCGGGCAGACCGCGCCCTCGCCAGGGCCGGGGGCCAGGAGCCGAGGCTGTGGAGCAAGAAGGAGCCTGTCAGGCTGCGTGAGTGCTAGGGGCTGGCCACCTCCACAGCTCCACAGGGCAACCAGGAGACAGTGGGATGATGGGACGATTATTTGTCTCCTCTTCTGCTCCCTAGGATGGCAGCAAAAATCAGCATTTAGCTGCTCAGCCCTCTGTCTCCTACACAATCCTCTAACAGCTCTTTCACGTTACTGCTTTCCTGTTTGTCTCACCACTTGGAGTTATGCTGTGAAAGCAGCAGCCCAGAACAGTTAAAGGTAGTCCAGTGTGCCCCAGTATGAGCCACTCTGAAATCACTGCACCCAGGCACCCCTGATGGTGCTGAAGGAAACACTTCCTTTTCACAGTGAGCACGAACTGCACAGGCCTGAGCTGGCCTGATGGATGGCTGTCCCCTGCAGTGAGGGTTCAGCCTTGTCCAGAGCTGCTGTGGAATGTGGCAGAGCACCCCTCAGAAATAAATGTGGCCTTTATACAGAAAATTTCACACTGGCCCTCTAAAAATCATACGAATAGCAGTTGTGCCCCCCACACTTCCCCATTTGGCTTCCCCTGGGATAGCAGGATGGTGTCTGTGGTACACATTTCATTTCCATAATTCAGAAAAATGGCCCAGTTTGGTAACCAAACATTCTGCTAACAAAATCCACCTGGTGACTGAGTTGCTGGTTATTGACCACCCCATGTGAGCAGTCGTATGGGCTGCAATCCCAGCACACGTGGGACGTGCAGTGCGTTGTCCCTTGCCCTGGTGGTTGTGTGCAGGTGACTTTCCACACACAGGTGCTGTGTCTGCTGCTGGCTGAACTCGGTAGCTTGCATGTAGAAGCAAGAGGCTGGGATAAAAGAGGTTTCTTCTCACTCAAGCTTTCCCAGAGTTTGGCATGTGCATCCCCATTGATTTGTGCATAGCTAACACAGGCAGGGAAGGAAGATTTGGCGTTGTCATGCCTTTTCCTTTTTTATCTTTAGGGAAATTTTTTTTCATTTTTGCCTTCTAACAGAATAGGAGAGCTTCCTTTTCTTTTGCAGGAGTTTGCTCCGCGGGTATTTGTCATGTACTTCATCGCTGCTGTAGCTTTTCTCTTCTATATTTCCAAAGTTCCAGAAAGATACTTCCCAGGTAGGAAATTCTCTTCTGGCTGTGGTTTTTTCCTCTGCAGTTAAGCTTCCTATAGTGTCAGAGTCCTTGCTGTGGGTCCTGAGCTTCCTGGGAGAGAACAGGCTGACCATGTTCCCCATGCAGTGTTCCCAAGCAGAGTAAAAGTGTGAAGAGGCAGACAACTTCCATCAAGTTCGTTAAAGAACTCCCTGTCACCCCTGACGGGCAGGGTCTGGCGGAGCTCTGCAGGAGGCTGATTTCTGATCGCACTGCCGTGCTGTGGCCGTGTTCAACAGCTCAACTCCGTGCCCCTCTTCTCCCCCACAGGCCAGCTGAACTACCTCGGCTCGAGCCACCAGGTGTGGCACATCCTGGCAGTGGTGATGCTCTACTGGTGGCACCAGTCCACAGTGTACATCATGCAGTACCGACACAGCAAGCCCTGCCCCGAGTACAGCGTGGACTTGTGAGCCAAGGTACGGCTGTTGGCATCCTCGGGGAACAGGATCCTCTAAACACAGGCTTCAGGAATCCTGGCCTCAAGCTCAGGTCGCTGCCCCACCGTGGGTCCTGACTGGTGCAAACAAAAAGCAGGGATGTGATGCCAGGCACTGCTCACCTGTGCTGCTGCACTGGATGAGGCTCTGTGGAGCTGCTGGGCCCTTGAGCAGTTTTAGAGCAGGCTGGACTTAGCCCTGCCAGATCCCTTGCAGCTCAGTGTCACAGTCTTAGCAGTCTCAAACCATCATCGTACTTGTCCTTTTCCTCAGGCTTTTGTCAGGTTTTCAGTCTGCCTGGAAGTCTTACCATTGATCTGGATGCTGTGGAAATCAGATGAATTGCCAATTCCATGTGCACGGTGATTTACCTTGTTCCCCTGCTCTATTTCAGAGGCAGCATCGGAGGATTTGTGACTCCGAGGGTCTGGACCTCATGTGATGAGCTGCGCTGTCAAGGACTGAGGCAGTTCCTTTCCTGACTCCTGGAATGTCACCCCCTTGCTGGGACAAAGCGTTCCTGCAAGCTTTGATAAACACAGAAGCACTGCCTGGGATCTGAGGGGCATTTCCTTCTCAGGCAGTTCCTACTCTGCAGTCAAGCACCAAACAGCTCTCGCTGGAGCGGGACAGCAGGAGGCTGAACTAACCTGGCATGCAGATCCCAGCAGGATGTTTTGTTGCCTGGCAAACACAAATGGTTCAGCCAAGGGTGCTCAGGCCTGGACACCAGGTTTTCAGGTGGTGTGCACAGTTAGAACATTTCTGGCAGTGTGCCTGTGAAACTGTAGCAACTGTGGGAGCCAGTCTTGGATCCAAACCACAGCCCTGTGGGCGGTGCATCCTTCGGCCTTTGTGTGGAAGATGTGCTTATGCTTCAGCGCTGGCACAGGAACGCGTGAACTGGAATCCTGCTCTGGATGAGCTCTTCCCATTCCCTGGGAGATAAGATCACATGACATCCAGCACACCTAGATCTTCATTGCAGGTCTTTAAAATAGCCTCCCCCAAAGGGGGTTGTGCCATTGCTTGGAGATATTTCTGTAAATCCCATCAGTTATATGGAATCGGTATTCCGGAATATTCCAGGAGTAGCAGTAAGCCTGTGTGTCCATGTTTGTTGCTGTTTCACAGTGAACCTGCTGGGGATGCAGATTCCTGACCTTTGGCCTTCCCATGTGTGCAGAATGATACTGCACTCGCAGACACCGCTGTCCAAAAGGACCTGCTGCCAGCATCCTGCCACAGTGCCAAGGGTGTTTGGAATTTGAGGATGTGCTGTGGAATGATCTCTTACAAAACCAGCACCGAGGAGCCATGAAATACACTGGCCACTGCGTAGCTGCAGCCCAGCACAATTAAGCTCCAGGGGTGCCAGTCTTCCAAACAGCACTGAAATCCTTTGGACTTTGGGGCTAGAGGCAACGATGCTGTTGGGACTAATCCTGAGTGGCTGTGTCCTTGTGGAGAGGGCTTCCCTGTAATTCACTGGGAGAGGCTGGCTCCATGCAGGGACTTCCTCAGGCAGACAGGCAGGCTCTGCTAGCTGCCCAAAGCTGCCTCTTCCTGGGCTAAGGCAGAGGAGCAGGACTTGCTTTTCTGTCAGGACGTGCCAAGGTGACCTGGAGTGGAGGTGGAAGCTTACAGAGAGGCACCTGAACTCCCAGGGCATGGAGAAGGCAGCATACGAATTCCTCCTGATGTGCTGGACAGGGATGCTGTCTGTTTAGCTCAGAGGGTGGTTTTGGTGCTTTTTTTGTTGGTTTTTTTAACCTCCAGAAACCAGTATTGGCAAAACTGCCTCTGCATTATTGATTCAGCTCCCAGAGCTTTAAGCCTTTCAGTGTGAACACTGATTTTTTTATGATTTTTTTTTTTTACTTGACAGCCAAGCAAGTTTCAAGTGCACTAATTACTACTACTGAAGCCTGACAAGGAACTTGCGAGTATCAAAGCCTGTCCCATTGTTATATGTACAGTAATACCCAAACCATGTGTCTGTGCTCTGAAATCACACTGACTTTAGCATTTGCTAATGTATTTTTTTAATGGGAACTCTCATCTACTCTATCAGTTTTCACCAGATAAGGAAACTGATTGCCAAGCTGTGCATTTTTACCTGACACAATTTATCAAGCTGCATGATGATCTTTGATGTACATACCGAACTGATAAATAAATTCCAGTTCATTGGCTTTTTCCTTGGAGTAACATCACTCCTGCATCTTGTGCAGGGAAACCACAGATATCAATGGCTCAGCCTCAGAACTTGTGCCACATCCTGGGGGGTTACAGAGACTGGGATTTTGGGGGGAGAATCTCTAGGTGAATTTGCTGATGAACTCAGCTTTGCAGCCCCCTACCACTACTCTTCGTTAAGAGTTCTGCTGTTGCTTCATCTGTTCTTGACCATTTCCATTCTTCCTTCAGCTCACCCAAGAGTAAAATCAATACAAGGAGCATTCAAAAAACCTGCTCCAGTAAACAGCTGCAGGAAGGGGCTCACACCACATTATAGTTGTCCAGAAGTGCAGAGCTCAGTCCACAGCAGTGGCATTGGGAACTGCACACGCTCTTCTGCAGGAAGGCTTTAAGGAGTAGCACTGAACCAAAGGAATTCAAAATAACACATGCTCCACAGATTTTTAACCAGCTGGACACAGCAAGATGTGGCAGCAAATACAACTACTTACAACACTTAAGAGAGTCACAGGTGCTTACAGCTACCAAACCAGTCAGCAGCAGCAGCACTGCCTATAATGAGTAAACGAAAGCCTAGACACGAATACTTCACGATGCAGTGTTGAAGAGACCTGCAAAGGCACTGTTACCAGGTTTGTTTATTTAATAACTCCAAGGATTTTATGATATACATCAGCTTCACAAAAAAAGTTAAAAGTTCTCGCTTTAGTAGTACACAAAAAAGCTTTAGAAACTCCAAGTCTAAGAAGAAATGGAAGTGTAGTTCAGGCAAGTGCACTTAAAAGCTGAATGCCAGCAATTTTAAAATAGTTTTTATGCTCTTTAATACTAGGTGATGCCTCAGTCGCAACTTTAGCCATACACACAATCTCCTTGACTTCCTTTCAAGATAAGCACTGTGGAACATACAGCAGCCACCCTTGATGCTTAACTCGTATTCACTCAAGTCACAAACATGATTGTGGCTGCTGGGTTTCCAAAACCACAGCAACTCCAAGGGGTACGTGATGTGTGCGAGCATGTGTATATTTTATATATACTTTTTATATATAAAAATACACGATATAGTATAAAAAACTCCAGATAAACTCTTATTCTCACAGTAGCAAATATATCAACTTATTTTCACAGTACTCGGTTTTACTCACTGGGACACCCAGAATGATTATAAGCTTTTTCCTCCAACGCTGGTGCTCACAGAGCCCCCCGCCACACACAGGGCAACCAAAGCTTTAATTATATTAATTACACACCTCAGGGCCTTTTGAGTCCACAGACAAACACAACAAACTGGTTCTTCTTTCTGTGACCACAACCCTTAAGGGCTTAGTACCTTGGGACAGATGCTCTCTCCAGCAGCTGATCCTAGAAGGTCTGTGCTTCAGTCCCTCAGCATGCTCAAGGAGAAGCTGCAAAAACCCATTGGGATTTCTGTCTGGAAGGGAAGTGTCAACCCCTTACCCTGCCCTCTTGCTACCACAGGCAGCACATACATGTCTAGTGCAGCAAGGGCTTTCCTGATTTCAAGTACGGTCACGTTGCACTCCACACCCCCTGAAAAAAGGCAAAGGAGATCCCATGCCCTGACAGACATACATTTCACCTCCTTTCAATAGTGGACAGTGGGTAACCCAGAACTTGGGTTCAGCTGTGCATTACTACATACACCAGGCAAAGTCAGCTTAGCGGGGTGCACCAATCTCACATGGACCATGAAAAAAGATTAAATAACTAAAGACAAAAAAGTTACATTTAATCAAAAACCTGCTTGGTATCTCGAGTACAAAGAACCAGGTTTGTTAAGGCCATTAGGAGGCAAATATCATAACTCCTGCCAGCTCTGGAGTCACTGGGGTCTGCAGTTTGCCTTACCTCTCTCCTTGAGCTTTGCTGTGCTGCAATACAACAACTCCCAGACCCTCTGCCAAAGCCCCCCGCAGCCCTCCTCCGCCTGGAGTCTCGGGGTAAACCAACAACGCGTGAACGCCTTTCCTATTTTTAATTTACCTGATCACTTCTGCCACACTGGGTCTGCTGATGCCCAGCCTCCTCCCTGTACATCCAACAGCCCCCACCTCTCCTCCAGGCCCTGGAGCCAAGCCCCAGCACCATGGGCATGGTTAATCCTTACCCTTGCTTTCCCACTGGGAGGGCAGCAACAGCATGGCTTTGGTGAGGACCAGCCACATTTAGGACCACAGTGTTTATCTCATGTTGTGTCCACCCCACTGCCCCATTTGTCATCCCATGCTGTTCCAAGAGCTCTTCACACAGGTAACAGCTCTGAAGGACGCTGAGAAAGGCAGCTCCATAAGCATGCACAGAGGGAAAAATAAAAAAAGGAAAATGACTGTTAACCTGAGTGTCAGAAATGCTACAAAAGTTGGCGTGTGCTTCTTGCAGCCTTTGGCACCAAACAGGTGAGAAGAGCAGTAATAAAGGCTGGAAAGTCCTGTGTTGAAATGCTGCTACTTAATCTCCTAAGGGCTTAACTTCTAAGCCTGGAAAAGGCACGCTGAAGCAGGCACAGCTGCAATATTCCACTTACACCCTGTGAGAAATGAAACAGAGGAAGATAAAGGCAGCAGCTATCTATACCCCATCACTGTGAGCTACGTTCAGATTCCAGGGCTAGGGGAAGCCATCTCACATATGTCCTAGGGGGCATTTTATCAAGGTGGTCCCAAAGGCGTCCACAATTCATTTTCAATGTGTTTTCGGTGTATATTGTAAGGGACCAAATCCACCCCCCTCAGAGATGTCAGGATCACAGATCTCCTGTACATCCAGCAGTCAGGGGAAAAAGCTCACAACCCTGCATATTTCACTTCACCTGTGACAGGGGGGACATCAGGACACCCGGCCACAAACAGTGATGTCCTCCATGTGCAAACACCCAGCTACCTACTCCTGAGCCTCCAGTGGAGAAGGACAGAAAGGGGAGCCAAACCGAGGAGCCACATCCTCCCGTGTCCCCGTGAGGATGGCCATGGGAGCCAGGCAGACAGGCTGGGCTGAGAAGTGCCGTCCCTGCAGATGCTGGCTGTGGCTCGGGACAAGCTGTGAGGCAGCAAAGCTGTCCCACCTCCACTCAGCACCACCTGCTGTACCACAGGTAGCAAACCCTGTGCTCGGCAGCATTCACACCTCCTCCTGTCAAGCCCAGGCACCTCCCGGAGCTCCTCGGCCTCCGAGGTGCTGGGCAGCAAGACAGGGGTCCTGCCCAAAAGGTTCTGTGGGATGAAAGGCAGCTTGGCAGCCAGCAGGTCCTGCTGGAACACCACCGGGGCAGGAAACGTCTCCAAAGCCCAGTGCATTTAGCAAACCCTAAGAGAACATTAGGTTACAGTCATTTCATAAAACTGCTGTGCTAAAAAACCAACAGGTTTGAGAGAATACACATTTTCTTCGCAGTAGAAACCCAAGAGGAAAAGACACAAATCCCAATTTGTAATCAAATCACTCCAATGGTTGTACCTCACAGTCAAGTCCGCAAGTCATCTGAAACACTCTGTATGTGCCCGAGGACAGCCCCTCTTCCAGTGTGCTGAGGAGTCTCCCAAGTGCTGTAATCCCAGCCATGTCCCTGCTGGCTCACTCCCCTACACATTCAGGCTTCTCACAGATCAGTAAATTATCTGCTTCTTTAGTTTTGACTCTACATTATCAGTTTGCTATTTTTCATTAATGGCACTTACTATAAAAAAAAAAAAAATTAAAACTTGACCATTTAGGCACACAAAGAAATAGTCTGCCTTTCATCTCTGCAGCTGCATAGATGTCTGCAAGGTCCCAAGCCATAGCTGTGCTCTGGAATTCTGGGCCACAGCCCCTTGAGCATGTGGCTGCTTTACTTTTATGATTAATAAAGGTAGTTTTCACCTAGGAAGCAAAGACTTGGCTATTTCCAGCACATGATCTGGTTATCAGTGTGTCTTGGTTCTTAGGTCTGCTGAGACACGAAGAAGCACTGCAGTTCATTAGCCCCCCTGTACATATGGAAAACATTTTCCACGTGCTCCCTGCCTCTTCCGCTCCACCGGGGCACAGGGCAGAGGGATGGAAAGGCAACACCAAAGTGCACAAGGACAGTATGTCCCAGGGCCCCAAGACAGTGACAAGGATCCACATCCAGCTCCTTGTTTCATTCCAGGAGCCATCTGCCACAAGGAAACAACATGCCTGATTTTTTTCTCAAAAAGACCCAAATCAGAACTAGCCATTATCTGCAATCCCACCACGCACGCAGGCCACTGCCTCCTCAACCTGAACAAGCTGTACAACCCAGGCCCCTGGCATTTTAACCACATAAGTTACTCCACTAAACCTTTATTAAGGGACTTGGAGAGGTGGAGTGGGGGGAACCCACTGGCAGCCTCTACTGTTTAGAAGGGAACGGAGCTGCTCCAAAGGGATCTAACTCCAGCGCCTGCTGCGGTTGGCTCTGCGTGCTCTGCACCACCAGCTCTGTGAAGGGCACCGCACCGAAGTCATCTGTTTTCAGCCCGTCCCCCCCGTGAACGGCCCCATGCAAGGAGCTCTGCCTCGGCCTGCCAGGCACCACCACGGTGCCGTGGTCCCCGCGGCTGTCCCCAAAGCCCTGGTGCTGGCCATGGCGCATCAGCTCCGGCGGGTGGAAGGGTTTGGCTCCAAACGGATCCAGCAGAGTCTCGTCCGTCTGCAGAGGGTTGGCTCGATCCTTGCTGTCGGTCAGGGCCACGCTGATGTTCTCCTTGGAGTCCGAGATGGTCAGGAGCTCGTTGCTGCTCTGCGAGTCCCTGCGGCCGGCCTTCCTGTGCCGGCGGGCGCGCTCCGGGGTGCGGTAGCTGGGTTTCAGCCCCTTCTTTGTGGTTGTGGGGGTGCCGTGGTGGCGCTTCCCGTTGTTCTTGGGCACCTCCTGCTTCATGCGCCTCTGGCGGGAAGACAATTTCTGCAGGTTCCGCTGCTGCTTCACCTTCTGCTGCTGCTGGCTCCCCGTGATCTCCTCAAACGGAACCAAGCCAAACAGGTCCTCTCTACTCCCAGCACACTTGGGGAGAAGGGACGGCTGAAATGGGGTGCAGCCAAAGATATCCACACCCTGCGGAGAGCTGGGGGAGAGTAGAGGCTCCATCCCTGACCCCTGCCCACCTTGCTGGGGCACTTTTTTGCTGAAAGGAGCTTTTATGAAAACATCGAAGTCATCCTGCTCTTGGCTTGGGCTGGGAAAAGGCGCCTGAGATGAAACAGGTCTGTCTGTCTTGCCTCTTGCCTGAGGCTGCAGAGTGAAAAAGGGCACAGCTCCAAACACATCAAATTCTTGGCCAGAGCTGTTCAGAGCGCTTGGCACCTCAGGCGGGGACATGGGCACCGAACCGGGCTCGGTGATTTCACCGCTGCCCACACCATCTCTGAAGCGAGCGCTCGGGAGCCCTTCCATGCATTTTTGCTTGCTTCGGTCACAATCGGAATCAGAGCTCTGCTTTTCTTCCTCCTCTTCTTCCACCTCTTCCTCAGAATCCATGAGAAGAGGTCGATGGCCTAAATTCTCTGGTTCTGTGTCATTGTCATCATTGAAGTCCCCATTCTCTCCATGCAAGACTTCTTCATCCTCCTGTTCTTCTTCTTCCTCACTGCTCTTGGGAGAAGGAGGATCAGATTCAAAATCACTCTCTGACTCCTCACCACCTTTTGACACATGTCCCTCTGCACTTTTCCTCCCTGCCCGGGGATCTCTAAATGCATGGCTCAGTTTTCCAGCCTTGGTTGGGGTCCCTAAGTTATTTCCTTGATTGCTGGCTGAGTTATCCACTTGTTTTCCAGGGGAACCTGCAGGTCCAAAGAAAAAAGCAAATGAAAACTTAAAACATATGGAGGTAAAACTTACTCCACACACCCCACAGCCACACATTCCAGGAACTGATGCAAACATCTATCCTGTACTTAGGGAGGCAAACAAGCTAAAGATCAGATCTGACATATCAAACAACAGTCATAAAATCAACAGGCAGAGCTGCCAGCTTTACTTCTGAAGCACAAGGCGTCTGGACATACAGTACCAGTATTTGGGGGCACACAGAAGGGGCTATGGGACACGGCTGATCTCTAGAGACAGCTTTTCAAACCCAGTCATTATACATTTTCCTCTGGGAAAACAGGAGGCAGTAGGATTTAAACGCTTCAATTTTCTCTATTATATTTATTTTAAGCAGACAAGCTGTTTTTTGATATGCTTCTGGCTTTGATAGTCTGCTCAGACAAACAATGCTCTAGTCACGAGAGCAGCTCCTTCTGACTTCTGCAGCAGCCGAGGCACAAAAGCTCTTGGTTTTCCTCAAGTTTGAGAGCAATGCTTTCTGCTTTGTGTCTACATGCAACCTGTCAGCTCAGCTTCTTTATGGCAAGGAAATCTATCCCTTTTCCTCTGCCAGCTTCCTCCCCACTATTGACTGACAACTAGAACTGAAAGAACAATTCACTGATGAGTGTTTTGTGGTGCAGTTGCCTTGGGAACACTGGAAGCAGTAAAAATTTTGCAGCAGCACAAAAAGGAGATGGCAAGAGCAGGCAGAGCAGGGGAGGCTGCACAGTGGCACTGGCACCGCTCTTGTCACTAAGCAAGCCCAGTTCCTCCCTGTGTCAGAGCCCCATCATGTGGGGAGATGTTCTCAGTGGTGTAACTGACTTGGATTTCTACTGGAAGAGAAGGGGCAGGAGGAAAATCAAAACACTCAAGTCTCCACTGGGTAAAGCACATTTGCCCTCAGAGCATCCTCTTGGACACAGACAGGGTGTGTAATGTTCCACGTGGTGCCAGCAACAGCAGCGAGAATTCACCTCCTGGCAGGCACAGGACCAAAGCCTGTGTGCCACTCTGCCCAGAGAGGCTGCCACAGGCACCCTGGCACCGGCAATGAGCTCCTCACACCTCCAGCATCTGACACCTGCTGGGGTCGGGGCTGCTCCTGCTCAAGCGGTTATTAGAGAACTCCAGCCACAGCATGGCACTGGACCCCTGACCTCACCCAGCCAAAACTGATGTATTTCTCTTAGAGCTTTGTTATCTAAACAGTGACATTTAACCCACCCCATGTGTTCAAAGGACTGAAAAAGCTAGGGATGGCTACAGGCATCTGATATTTCTCCAAAAATCATCTTCAGCCAGAATCCAGCTCATAACTCTTGTTCTTGCAATATATAAAAGATTTACTCAGTTAATTCCTTATTTCACAAGGAAACCAGCATGCAACTTCCAGGCCAAGTTGGATTCTTTTCTTTCTATGCTCCAGTTTACGAGAGCCATTTCTTCCAGTTTTAAAGGGAATTAACAGGGACTTCCTCATCCATCAGCTTCCTCACTCCTTTGCAGTTACACTTAAAATAATCAAAATTCAGCAGCAATAAAATTCATGTAAGGATTTAAAAACAAGATGACCAGAATGACTAAAAACATCAGGTGATTAGGGCTTTGAGCTGTTTCTTCTTGCCTTCTGGTGTCAGATTGCTTCTTATCTACTGTAATTTTAAACGCTACATATTTGCTTTACCCACTAAATTAGAATCTGGATTATTCTGCTGCTTACTTTAGATTTCCCAAAGGTACAGCCTTCACATTGCACTATATAACCCCCCTAGCCTCCAAATCCCGCTGTTTCCAATATTTACTGGAACACTGATGTTAGCATAAATGCAAATAGATTTAAGAGAAGAAAAGAGGACTACTTCTAGGTTAGATGTTAACACCACTTACACAACAAAAGGGTCAAACCTCTTCTCAGCGTCCATACCCACAAGAGTTTACAGTCCCACAGAATGCTTAGACCTTTGCACTTCATCTCAACATGCAGTAAACAACTGATAAAGTAATTTTTTTTCCAAGGAAGAATTGAATCACAGTGTTATCTTAACCTGACTTACCAAAAGGTTTAAATGTTATTTTTTAAGTGCTGCCAGAGTCAAGCATCCCTGGAAAACCAACTGTAACAGGCACTGAGGAGACAGAACACTCAACCTCTACCAAGAGCAGATGAGCTTCTTAAGGGAATGTCTGAGGCACACGAGGTGCAGCTCTCAGCCCCACACCTCTCCAGAGGATGTTTCCCACAGCAAGCTCCATGTCCTGGCACCCAGCTGCTCCAGCATCCCACCAGACCCACCTGCTATTCACAGCTGTGATTCTTGCTGGCAATACACACAAATGATCCTGGCCATCAGGCATCCAGACAGCCCAGCCTCCCCACCCTAAGGTTTCCTCTCTTCAGTCTGACAAGTACAGTCTTCAGAGGAACTGAGATGAAGCCAGGAACAACTGACTGAGCGGTCCCTCTTGCTGGAGACACGCATCCACAGCAACACAGAAGCCAGGTGCTTCCCCCCTGTACTTGGAGCTCTGAACCACTCTTCAAGAAAATGCTGAGCACCTTCCTGGCTGACGGAGGCAGACACAGGGGAAGTGCTTGAACAGCAAGGAGAATACCAAAGTTTGGTATACCTGTTGATTTTTACTTGGCCCACAGCAGCCTGTCCTGGCCCCGGTCAGTTCTGTGGGCTCTTGCTCCACTGAGGGCAATGCCATGGCTCGCTGGATATAGCACACCCCCAGCAGTTGTGCTGGCAGCAATGAGACAGCCTGCAGGCAAGGGAAGCTTAAGGTGTGGATTTGTAAGCATCTGTCCCTGCACGTGAGAAAACACAGTCCAAAACATCTTTGAGGCCACTCAAAGACACAGCAAAAAGACTTTTTCCCCTTCTAACACCATCACAGCAGAGTCAGTAACTGCATCTCAGCTCAGCAGCGGTTTCTGAAGGTTTCCAAATTTCTAGCTCTTCAGCTGAGACTCCTCCTTCTCCAGACTCCTTGCCAGAGCTACCAACGTGATTTGCTTCTTGCAGCAGGAAACCAGTGTCTAGGTGTTATGTACAGACTGGGAACTACCCAGCTGTGACTAGAAACTCAAAACCTCCACTAACAGCTCACTATTCCAGAGGTGCAGAGCCAGCACGTATGGTCCTACACTGACAATGTCACCTGGAAAGCAGGTGGCACACAGCAATGACACTGTGAATAGCAACTGCTCCTGATATGTGGGTTTGAAGAAAACACTTTCACTCCGAGGAATATTTCCAGAATGGTGACAGCACTGCTCCCACACTGGAGTGTGTCAGCAAAGAACAAGTATCCTCCTTTATCCTTCTGTGTGTGCTGAGGTTAGCCACCTGCTCCAAGCAGAAACTACTCTAAGATAATCATCTTGCACGCTTTTAGCCCCACCTGGCCAACCCTGAGGGAACAAACCATCTGTGTACCTACCTTGGCAGCTGCAGTGGCTTCAGGTTAGCCCCAGCAACTAGGGCTGATGTTAAAACAGCATCAGACAAGAACCAGAACCAAACCAACCACACAAAAACACCCTCCCTAGAACTATTGTTTTTTAAACTAAGATAGGAATAGTTCGGTCTTCTACACTACAGTTGCCCCCGTTTCACTGCTAATGAAGTTAGCAAATGAAATAAAGAGTGCTACACACAGAAACAATCCCCCCCCCAAAGGGAAAAGCCCCCACCTAGTGACAATTGAATGCTCTGGCCAAACAGATTTCCAAAGTGAAGTGTTGTGTCACATTGATTTCATGCAATCTTGTCAGGCTACACTGCTGCAGAGACCTCCAGATACCCATTTATACAGCAGTGCTGCACTCTGGTGCGCAACATCTGTTTGCAATGTGCTGCTCAGATTACCACACTTCTAATCAGGTTTGCAGCTTGTAGGGAACAATTGTTCCTTGCTCAAATGTGAGCCAGGTGGAACATCTTTAATCATATAAGAAGATCTCAATCTTCAAGGAAATCTTCTGTTCCGATGTTCTTTTTCGAGACACAGGATTATAAGAGGATGAATTCCCTTGAACAACTGCAGTAATTACATGCCTTCTGCTGGCTCCTCATTTTAGGGTATCGCGGGGGTAGCCCAAGAGTGGGGCCTAAGAGCTTAAAGCTCCCTTGGAATTGGGAACATACTGCCACCATCATTTCATAACAATTTGCCACATGTCAGCCCAAGGATTACCGGCAGGCTGCAACTAAATCTGCACCAGTTCTCTGACAACAGCCAGGGCAGCAGCTGCTCAACATTGTAACGGATTTACACATCTTACCACCTCTATTTTCAAGAGGAACAAAAAAGGAAGAATACCACACTTGTGTCTGGCAGTTATTGCTGACATTCTTTTAAATAATTACTCCAGTAAGAGATTCAAGTGCAATACAATAAGAGTGCAATGTGTCCATGACTGCTGCAAGATTTGAAAAAACTTTTAAAAAATCAGTAGAAGATATTGGAGAGAAAACGCAGACCCTTGGCAGAGCCCAGACATATCATTTATACCTCTGATGAGTGAACAACTTCAGGTTACTCAGGAAGTGCTATCTAGAATAGCTGAAGTTTAAGATTATCTCAATACGGGGAAATATCCTGAACCTGCATTCAGCAAGCACCATGAATAACTGAAACCACAGCCAAGAAGGTACAGAGTAACATCAGCAAAGCTTTCAATGACTACAGATATTGACAAGAACTCACTCTGCCAAGTTACCTAAACCTGAAGTAGATGACTGCAGAGATCACTGCACAGGTCTGGCCATCTTTAAACCATCAACATCAGCTGTCAAAGAAACATGAATAGTTGGCAGGAGCATTTTTCAAGTTGTAAAAGCAGCTCAAGTCTTTCTTGTTTCTTCTGGTCTGGTATTAATAATTATTTCTTCAATTCTAGCAAGCTGTGTCTCATCTAAAGGCCAAACTGCAGTGGTCCCAGGGCTCCACAGCTGTAGTACCGAACTTGCAGTGGTTTGAAACCCTGTTAGAAGGCATACACAAAAATCAGCTGAATGAATAATCATCCCCCATGTCTGTCCCTGCCAGGACAGCACATGTTTCTGCTGTGACACTGTGCATATCCAGCAGCACCTACTGCAACAGGGCATTCTCGGGGCTGTCTCCAAGGCTCTGGATGATTCCCCTGGCACTGCTGTCTGGCACACAGCCAGCTGGTTTTCTGCAAGACCCACACAGCTGGGACAACACACACCACACCAGAAAGCACCTCTTGTTCCAAGACAGACACCTGCAGTGACCATTTGAAGACACCAGCACGTGGCTGAGTGTGGGAAATCTGGAAGTCAGAAGGAAGCTGTTACAGAACTGGACTTGCTTTTATTCAGTCTCTGCACAGATAACAGGCCTGCACTGGCTCAGAAGGGGTTACACAAGGAGGCTACAAAAACTAAGGGACTTGATCACAACTACATCACACATGATCTGTACACCAGCCAGCAGAACTGTTAACGAGATGACCTGAACCAAAACCCTATCCCGAGATCCAAGTCAGGTGACAGCTCATGGAGATTCCTCCACAGGAGCCAAATGCCTGCAACAGCTTGAGGAAACATTTCCCAACACCTCCGTTCCTCACACAGCCCATCCATGTGATTCTGAGTGTTACCTCAATTCTTGTATTCCTTCTGGGAATCGCAGTATTAAGCTGAGGGAAGCAAAAGGCCATCCTAGGCTGGCTTCATCCTACAAATCATTAGTGTGAATAAATGCAAGATGACCAAAGGCACCGAGTACAACTCACCAGCCAACTGTACTATATTCATGACATTTCCTTCTTACATTTGAGAGCAGCACAAAGTGTTTCTTCTGAGCTTCTGAAACACTTGATAATAACAAAGGGCATTACAACATAATTACAAGGGGTTAACACACACTTGAATCTAAGACTTCCATTCCAAAAGGCTGACCACGGGAGATGTTTCTTCCACTGTCACCATCCAGTTCAGGCATTCCAGAACCAGGATCTGTTTTCCTCATGTGAATGTCTAGGTGCCCCAGTGCTGGCTATTTAACTGTGCTGTCTTCTCTCTCTTTCATTAAGAAGTTGGCAATGTAGAGTTTGCTTCTATCAGATCAAGCACCGGAATTCTTCCCCAGGCCAAGTTTCTTTTCCAGTCATCTCAGGTGTTAGAGCACTACTATTTCCCACAAAAATCCAGGCATAAGGTAGTGTGCGTAGCAACTTAACTTGTGAGAATGCTTTTAATAGGATACACACCAAGGGTGAGAGACACCGAGAGCTTCCACAGTGCTTCCCTATTCCCCAGACTGAGAGGAACCCAACATCTGTGAGCTCGTTTTGCACCCCTTTCCCTCGGGGCACACCAAGGGACACAAGTGTTGCTGCTGGCTCTCCATTCCCACAGGACAAAAATAAGCACAGAAGGCCTAACAGACAAGCAGCTAGAGTCCATCCAGTTCCAGGTTTCTTCTCCTGGTGACCTTTGCAGCAGTGCCAGCCTGACATGCACTCTCAGCTCCACAGGAAATATCCCAAGTCACAGCAGCCCACAGGCTTTCCCAAAGATGATCAAAGGCCTCCCACTGCAGCCTCTGCTCTCCCTTGCCTCACCTTCCGGACACCGGTTCACATACCTGGTGACACCTGGCCAGGTTACCAGCACTTGACGTTGGCAAGTCCAAAGGTGACACGTGATACTCCTCATCTTGCTGTTCTCTCAGGAGGTGACAGGAGTCAGGTCATTACCGAGTGAAGAGCTGCTTTCAGCAGAGAACCCTTAAGCCTCCAAAACCTGGGTAATCCTCTGGGTGACTCTACTCAGCCACAGCCCACACACACAATTTATACCTCAGACCCATGCCAGAACAAGGAAAACCTTTGAGCTGCAACTGTGGTCAATACAGCAGAACACAACTTCAGTAAGAACAGCCACTTTTCAACAAAGTAAATTTTATTTACTTTCAAGACCCTGTGTTTATATGGTCAACATTTCATCTCATGGTAGTTCAACATGTCAGAACTCAGTGGGGTCAGAGGCCTGGCCAAATAGTGCTAACACACTCCCCCACTTGGCCCCAGACATGTTACAATAAGGAAACAAAACTTGTGCTTTAACACAATCCCAGAGTCTCTCTCACAAATGCTGGAACTGAACTCAAGGTATTAAACCTCTGTTCCACTTGCCCTTGGATGCCCTGAGTAAGAGACACAGGTAGTTTGCTTCTCAGTTACACGTTTCACAATCACAAGGAACAAATCAGGAAGAACATGTCACACAGCAGTGCTAAGTACAAATGGAAATCAAAATATTAGGGAGGGACGTTTGTCAAGTTTGTCCCAGAAAGCCTTCAGCTAAAAATTAAAAATGTCCAAGTCAACAGCTTTCTCCTTTTCTTTGATGTCTTGCAACACCGCTTTTCAAGACACTACCAAGAACAGTTCAGTGGGGAACACAAACCAGCTTTTAAAAGATGAATATTAACATTTAAAGATTTATTATACCTGATTTGTTTTGTAAGTGCAATTCACAGTTAACAGATAATTAGCAATACCTTTCTTGAAACCAAGCCAGTATTTACTCTTGTTTAAATGCCATTTCCAAGTCCACAGGAAAAAAGGGTATTGAAAAGTGCACAACATTTTTCCCAGTGCCACAGCTGTCAGTCCATAACCAGCTCAACATGTCCCAAACAACCTGGTTTTTCAGCCATGACTGAATTTCAGGAGATTTTTCCTCCCCTTAATAGAAGCCACTGCCTTTTTTTTTCTTTTCAGTATGTCAAGAATTAGAGCTTGGATTCCAAGTAACAAAAATAAAGCATGTGATAATATACAGTGAAGACATTTGTTACAATCTAAAGCTGTACTATAACCACCTAAAAAACCCAGCAACAATCAAATGCACTTCCAAGATGCCAAGTGAGGACAGCGATAAAATAACCCCTGGACACAAGGGTAACAAATACTTGGCTGGAGACTGAGTACCTGATGGTTCCCAACTTAAATGGAGTGTAAACTATTCCTGTTTGTTTTGCATGTGAATTCAGGCTCACCTACAAGTCAAAGCAAACTCTGAGTCAAGATGCCAGGGAAACCTTTCTGAAGAGCAACTACAGAGCAAACCCTTCTTCACTAAATGGCTTTCACATGGCACTGAGCATGAACAAGGTGACAGACAGCAAACTTTTCCTGAGAGAGTGCAACAAAACCACAAACTAAGAACACAGTCCTAAAGCAAACAGAATGAATCCAGATCTAGGGACAGGAGCAGCCATGGGCACAGAGGGATTTTCACCAAAGGCTTTGCTGGAACACAACAGCATTACCCTGTCCCACCTTCACCATGTGGAGCACTGGAGCACTTGGCAGCCCTAGCAGAGCATCTCCAAGAATGCAAGATCCAAGTGAAAGAAAACACAGATACTACCTTAGGTTGACCCCAGCTGGTTTATTTTAAGGCATTTTACCTGAGCTTTTGAACTTGCACAAAAACAGTCTTTACAAGTTGTACTAAGGCACCTTTCTCACACAAGAACTCACAACAAAACCCAAGTGGTTCCAGAATTGACTCAGCTCCTTTTACCACACAGGCTTTGTCAAAGGTACCAAAATAAATACTAAAGTGCTGATCAACCAAATGTTAAAACTGCTGCTTAAGTTGCAAGATGATGCAGTTTCCCACTCACAACACCCACATAACACATTATTTTTACTTCCATTCAAGGTAAACATAGTCAAAGCTGAACTGAAAAGCAATAAGGAATGCCGACCCTCCCCGTGTATAGGCAACATAAAATGTTTGTCCTTGACTTGTACCAAAACCGGGCATTAAGCGCATAGAGGCTTATTGTCTTCACTTGGCTGGACAAGTATACTACAGAAGCAGTGTGACTCAGAAGCAGACTACAGGGAAGTAGCAAAATCTGGCCTTAGTAAGGAATTTGACTTCAGCAAAGACAGCCATGGCTCTGCCCCAGTGATGCCCCTGGCACTGGCCCAGCAGAAGCACACCCTACACAGGCTGTGCCAAGGCTTCACAGGCACCAGGAGCTGGATGCACAAGTGGTTTTAACTGGAGGTAATCAACACACCAACACATCCCTTCAACCCATGTGCAGTTAGAGGCAGCCTCTGCCACTCTTTGGTCCCTGAACTGCTGTGCATACTTCAGCAGATACATACACCTACAGGCAGGTATGCGTACAGCTACGAGGTAATCACGTCACAGATGGAACTTGCCTTGCTGAGAAAGGAAAGGAAGAGAACCAAAGGGATCTTCAGGAGGACTTGTCTGTGGAGCAGCATGTGGCTCCACATTCTTATCTGAAGATGCTCTCCTGTCCACCAGCCTGTCTGTAAAAAACAAAATGAAACAGAACAAAAACTAAAGTAAAATAAAATAAAAATGGCAGGACTTACACCTATGCAAAGCTATGCACTGTACAGGGTGAGGGAGGAATATCTTCTCTGGCAGGGGGCTTGACAAAGGAAGGCTTGTAAGAAGCACAGCTCTTGCCTGCACAGCTGGTCCGACTGCAGGAGACAGGCAGAGCGCCTGGGAGGCTCTGCAGCCACACCTGTCCCTACTGGAGCACCGGGGTGATCCCGAGCCTTTGTGCAATGCTATGAAAGCAGCGCTGGGGTTTTTTTCCCCAGTGAAAAAGCAGACTCACTTTCTTGGCTCCCATTTCTGCACTGATGATTAAGTAGTTACAGGAGCTGTTTAAGAAATGTACTTCTTCACAATGCTGTCAGAAATGCAGCATCAAATGTCACTTCTGGCCCATCACTAACTGATGATCACAGCAACACCAACGAGAAACAATAAGAGCCAGGAGCTCCAATCTGTCACTCTGTGTCACAGCTCCCCACAAAGGTGCTCCATTCAGAAATTCACCCAATTGCACATTACCTTTTAATACAACCAGCATTATTCTAGTAGGAAAACACCAAGCATAAGCAATGTATTCCGGCCTAGGAATTGGATCCCCTTTTACAAGAGAAGTGATTAATAACCCCAGCAGCACCCATCACTGCACACACTGACATTAATCCTCTCAAGGCACCAAACGCGATGGTAATGCCAGCCTGACAAATTGTGGCAACATCTTCATCCTCTACCAAAGGCTTTCTACATTTACTTAGGTGTTACTGTCATAAACACATAAGCCTTAAAAACACTTGCCAGATTTAGAAACATCTTTAATTTATGTATAAAGTATCATCTCAACAATACAAACTAGACTTCTGAGAAGAGACAGAAAGGATTCGTGTTCTGAGAACTAGTCAGCACCACGAACTTACACACCACTGTATGCGAGTTATGAAGTACAGGACAGCAGTTGGCTTTAGTAACAGAAAAGTAGAACCACTGATCAAATCTGCATCTGCAATATTCTTTTCTCTAGATGGCAAAAAAGTTACCTAGTACCCAACAGCCTTTTTCCCCTCATAGGATATAACCTAAATCTAAAGAGAACTCAGCCTTCAAGTTTAATACGTATCTAAGGAAATTCCAGTAAGTCTTACGCAGTTAGAGACAATTTCATCGGCACAAGACTTAATTTTACAACAAGTCTCCTGCCCTCTCATTATTCCAGGCAAGTCTGAGAAAGTACCAGGAGACAACAGGAAGTATAATTATTTCTGCTTTGACTGCAGCAAAGGCATGATCACTGCCAAGTACATTCATACGATCTTTGGCACAACACCCTCGGTATCAAAATGCCGAGTTAGCAGGTCTCTGAAGGTACGTGTGTATCTACATGCACACACAGACACAAACCACCCGTGCTCCCCCTCCCCTGAGGGACACCCAGCCCCAGGAGCTCAGAGCATCTGTAAGGCAGCCCCCATCTGTACAGACAAGGCTGCCATCTAGTGTGCTCCAGGCAAGGGAGTAATTCAGGGTTATTTTTGCATTCCCCCTGTGGGAGTGACTGAAGCCCCTAATGCTGGTTCCTACTGAGCAGAGCTGTGCTGTTGGGTTTAGCCTGCTTCTCAGATACAGCATAGCAGGTGTGTGATCACACCCCGCTCTCCTGTGCACTGAACTACCTCCAAGAGCAAGCCCAAACTGCACCTTGGTTATCATCTTCTTTGGTACTTGCATTTGTTCAAAACTTGTGGCTTAACCAAGTCAATCTCACCCAACTTACGATAGTAGTGCCAGCAGTCCAGCAGCCCCAGATTCTGAAAGCGGGTGGTGTTGTGCTGACCTTGAGTACAAACTAACCTGCTCCAGACTCACCAGTGCGTTATTTCAGAAGACTAAGGGCCACACGTGGTAGGAGCAGGCTTCCAGATATTCAATTCTACTACTGAAACAAATCCTTAACTTGCATTTGGAAGGAATGCTTAATTTCAGCTAGTACTTGAGCCATTTTTCCCAGCTACCAGTGAGACATTTGACTGTAAAATGTGTGCAGGCTCCATTCCCACATCAAAAACAGGAGTCTGATCCGATCCACACGGGACACAAAGGAAAACTAACAACCAGAGTTCCACAAATGAACCCACCCAGTCACTTCCCTAAAGGATTAATGGGTAAGGTGCATATCCAATAAGAAAAATACTCAACTGAAGGCAAAGGTATTTTTTTCAGTTACTCAGAATTCAACTTTACTGTACTTTTAATTGCAAGAAACTTGCTGATAGACAGCCAAGCATATACAATCTGTTTTTTAACATTGTCACATCTTCCAAGTCCCCCTAATAAATCTGATCTCAACAAAACCAGTTATAGGAAGAGCAACTAACAAGCATGTGTTCAGCAATTAAAAACAGAAAGTAATTCCAAGTAAAAACCATGGAGATAACTGACTTCACGAGGAAAAAGTTTATTCAACTATTGCCATATCAGTACAATAAACCAGCCCTTACATGTAGCCACTCAAAAAGGACAGTACAAAACATTAACATAATGTAATAGATCAATTTTCTTTCAGGCATTTTCAAAGGACATATCAGACCCACACAATCTTCTGCTCTGGTGTGCAAGAAAAAAGCTGGAAAGGAATAAAGCAAGCAGCCAAAATTCTCTTCCCATCTGACAACATACCTCTGCTGTTGAGAGCCTGGTGGCAATGAAGGTGACACAAGCAGTGGAGAAGAGCTAAGACACTACCATTTCTGCAGTAATTGAGCCAGTAACTACCAGTTTCAGACGGTGAGTTCCTAGTGCACATGTTTTCAAAAAGGAAAAGGAAAGGAAGACAGGCCCAACTGTGCCCTCAAATGCTCAGAAAGAATGTTCTGTACACAGCCTGCACAGTCCTCGGACAAGCAGGTGTTGGAACTGCTGAGCAATCAGAGCCCTCATTTACTGGGAAGCAAAGTAAGCCTTCAAACGTCCCTTACTTGATCTCAGCAGGTCAAACTCTCTGTCCAGCAGCTCCTCCTCTGTCAACTTGGAAAAATTGTCCTCTCCAAACGGGTTCCAACCTGACATATCAGGTGGGTTACTGATGTTCTGCTTTGGGTAACTGGCAATCGCTTCAGCATCAGGAATACCTGACCTGTGGAGTCAGTTTGAGGAAGCAAATAGAAACATGACAGGATTGGTTATCAGGGTCAAAATCTGAGACACCCTCCAGAAGGCCAAATCCTACACCCAAGCAGCACACATGCATTAAGAGCTCATCCCAAAATAATTTGAAGGCCAACTGAAAAGAAGCCTAATAGGAACTTACACAAATACATAACCTGGTTTCTAACATCAGTGAAACTGGACAGATTTTTAAGTTGTTTTTATTTTTAAATCAGAGAGGAAAGGTATTTTTTATTACATACTCTGTTGTTCACAAGAATTAATGCAAAAGTCATCATTTATTGCCATCTATTAAGCAAAGGCAGGTCCGAGGGCCACTGCTTAGGGACTGTATCTCTTCTGAGGTGTACATCATGTTACACGCTCAGGTCACACCTCTGAGCGCAGGAGTAGGCAGCCCTAGCACATCAAGGCCAACTACAAAGCTGCTCTTAACAGCGTGTTTGAAATTCCTTTCAGATGCACATAACATCATTCAACACATGCTACTGACCATCCCAAGCGAAGGGGTCAGCAGTCAGTTCCTGGAGTAAGTCCATGAAAAGGAAATACTGGAAAAGATACTTTTAAGAAATTGTACCAGGCTGATATCTGTTAACAAACTGTCTCACTTTGCTCCCAAAATATCCTTTACCACTGAACACCCACTGTCCAACTGCTCAAAGTAATCTCTTACCACCAAAGCAAGTAACTTGTGAGAGAAGGATTTGGCAGTGCTAACCACAATTAGTCAATGTAAGGCTCCAGTAACCCCCAGGCTGAGCTGAGCCACAGTTCTCACCTGTTTGCAGGGTAGGGAGGATCTGCCACTGTTCCGCCATGCACTGGGAGAGACCTGGGGTAGGAGATTAAGGCTGGTGCAAAGTCTTGTGGTGAAGTGATATATTCAGGGGACTGCGCCTGCTGTGCCCGCTGCTGAGCCAGCATCTGCTGCTGCAGGAGAGCCTGCTGGTACTGCTGCACCTGGGGAAATCAGGGCTGTGTTAGCAGAACACACATGGGCTAGCAGAAGCTCTTCTGCCAAGTATCAGCGCTGCTCCTGCAGCCAAACACACCCACGGCCACCCTCCAGAACACACAGGCACAGAGACACCGCTCCAACAAGCCAGTGCCACTGCTTTGCTTTTCCAGACTATTATTACCACTCGGATTTCTGTAATTACTGCACCCCAAATATGTGCTACTGCAGCACTGCTAATTGCCTTTTCATCACAGTCTATTCTTAAATCTTAATACAATACTCCAGCACAACTTCTCCTGATCTTTAAAAAACAGGCTGTGGCAGTTAGCTCTCTTGCTTTTCAAGTAAGAACTGCACATCACTGTCTTCAGCCACTCTCTGTCATGCAACATCTGTTTGCTGCTGTGGCTAGTACTGGAAACATTAACCAAGTATGTTTCAAATGAGCACAGACCTTCTCATGAAACTTGGGATAGATCCTATCCTATTATTAATACTCAAGTGCAACTCCAGACAAGCTAGCTTGGATTAACTTTCCCCCAACCACATATTATTTTAGATGCCAAACTGCATGCTATCAACTGTGTCATCTCAGTACAATTAGCCAGGCACTTCTCTTACTGCATCTACACAAGAGATTTACAAGCACAGGCCGTATTTTAAGACTCTACCATCTTTGTGACATACCATGGCAGGATATTGTGACTGGGCAGGCTGCTGCTGGTACACAGATTGCAGCAACAGCTGCTGCTGGACCATCTGCTGGTGCACTGCTTGGTGATACTGGAAAGACAAAAAAGAGCTTTAAAAAGTAATGATACCCCCTCAAAAATAAGCAAGTATTTAGTTAATGCTTCTTCTGACTACCACATGTATGACTCCACAGCGTTTTTGAATTAAGATATATTAGCAAAAACCAGCTTGCAATTCAGTCACTGCACTTCAATCACTCTGGTAGGAAGCTTTTTCCTTCCCCCACTCCCCAATCAATTCTTAACCACAAATCCATCAGATTTTATTTTTAGTAATTCAGCACCTGGTGCACGTACAATCAGGTACTGCAAGCATAACATCATCAGCCATAATGACTCCTAACATATATCCTGAGCTCCTTTACACATGGGTAAAGCCTTGAAGTCACACAGTGGTGATGCAAAGCAAGACAGAATTCAGGGTCAAACTGCAAGAACAGAGCACAAGGCAAGCAACTCCCTAGGACAAACATGGCAGGGCCTATGAAGGGACAAAGCAAGAGTAAGAAGGGATAGGTGTTCTTTTAGCTGGAAAAGTACAGGCAGCAACAGCCCAAGTGTTGAACTGGCACGATTCCAAGGGTTATTAACACACACCATGAGTCTCGGACACTTGTCTAACAGATCTGACTGTACCTGCTGGATATAAGCATCCTGCATGGCAGGCTGGTGCTGCAAGTGGTGCAGCTGCTGCAGTCTCCAGTCTCCCTGCTGCAGCTGCTGGAGGACCCTGTGCTGCTGTGGAGTGGTCCCTTGGGACTGTGAGATGTCTTGTCCATTCCCTGGTCGCGTGGTTCCTGTGACAGACAACACTACTGACATCCAGACACCTCAGCTTCAGCCAGAGCCTTCCCTGGCAGGTTTTCACCTCAAGCTGACACTGTCTGCCAACTTCTCTTCCCACTATGACCAGATTTCTTTTAGATTTCTTAAAATCTACCAGGACACCTGGTAGATACCAAGTCAATTTCTTTAAAAGTAATTCCAGGCCTGCAAATTTAACCATTTCTATGTGCAAGATGCTGGAAGCTTCCCCGGTCTCATGACAGCAAGCTGGGTTCCAGACTTCTGCTTCACTAACACTTAAGTTACACACTGCAGGACCTCAAACCCCTATCTCAAAGCATACAGCTTTGCATGCATTCAACACAGACCTATTTTGAATTCTTTTCTTTAAGGAAACTATTAGCTCATCCATCAAACTCCCTTAAACAGAACATCTGATCAATTTTACCATTCAATTTCTTTTGCAACTTTTAAGAGACAGGTACTACCATACATTTCTCTCTCGTATGATGTGTTTTATATTCTGAAGTCCTCATCTGTTCCTGTCGTAACAAAAAAAGCTTTTTCAGATGGATGTTATATGGACACCACCTGGTAAAAAGTACTCATATCCGGGACACATTCTGTGGCCTTCTGAGACTTTTCCAATACCATCCCTGAAACTACTCTTCCTTTCCTGCAGCAGACACTTAACAGCACAAAATGCAATGTATAAATGTCAACTATTTGTGTGAATATTTACCAAAACTCCTTCTGAATAAGAAAAGGAAGAAGGATTTTTCAAAAACCCCTTTCACTCAACTGACTCTCCCCTTACTCCTCCTGAATCCACAGTGCCATGTGGAACAAATCTGTCAGTTATGACAGAAATGACATGGTTCCAGCCTACAAATACCACCAACATATTGGTGCTATCTCATAACTTCTTCAGAATATTTATCTTACTACAAAAAACCCCAGTTTGATACAGAAGGGCTCTGTACTTTCTGTGCATTATTCACAAGTCAAAACAAGTGTGAACTTTTGTCTGCAGTGGGCAAGCTCATTCAGAAACCAGTGTGAAGCACAAGGGAAAAGCACTTTCACTTCTCAATCTGCATTTAGTTTTTGTGGCCCCTCGAATTTACTACTCACTCATTTAGAGTCTTTCAGAAATGACGAAGATTTGGGTTTTGGTATATAAAAAGTAAGACTGATAAAACTGAGTTTTACATGTTATCTCTAGTAGAGCAAGAGGAAGAATGGAAGCACAGTTCCTTCTTTATTTTGGTCCATCCTTAAAGATTAAATTACCTTTTTGCCCACGATGAGCGAATTCCCCAGGAACTTGTACTTTGACAGGAGTTGCTGAGCTCTGGATCGCCAGCACGCTGGAAGGGGCAGTGCTTGAATTGGCCTTTGGTCTTTGTCGTGGTGCAATTGAGGTTTCTGTTGGTCCAACAGCATCTGTTATTCTGAAAGGGCAATTTTTCCCATATAAGATACTTGAGAAAAAGACAACTATTTCTACTTCAAATCTGACACGGTACAGTTCTTAATAACTGAGTTATATCTTAATCATTTCCACTCTACTTCTGCACTGCACAGATGTTAAAATTTGTTTCCTAAAACTCCAGTCCCATACTTGAGTCCACCACAACCCTGTAATTCCAAACAGGACTACTGTCCATATGTACAAGAAGTAAGAGAAAGAAAAATATACGTTAGGTCAAATTATTTCTACTTCTACTGATTTATTATATTATTGTTTCTCTTTTTTTTTTTTGCAAATGGAGCTGATAATTATAGCTGAATGTATAGGAAACCAAGTCATACATGCTGGTAGACCCAAACCCAAATAACTTCCATTAACAAGGAAAGAAAAGGTAAAGGATTTATCTAGTGGTGCCTCAAGCACATACACACTAGATTATAGCAGTAATCAGAAGCATGGAGAGGAATTTCCAAGGTTTTTGATATGTTTTTACAAACAAGAACAAAAAAGTGAATATTTTTCCATAAAAGTTTCAATTTGTCAAAAAAAATAGCAAAACCCACTTCCCTTCAAAATAATAGTTTCTCTCCCTGGATTCTCAGTAAAATGAGAAAAGTTAGAGTGGAATCCAAATAGACTTGAAGCTCTTGGGAACAGTTTATCTAATGATTTCCACTGTGGCAATATTTCATTTATTAACAAGCATATGAAAACAGACTTTAAACAAACGTGCAGCTTATTAACATTAGAAGAAAGAAAAAGTACAGTCACATCCTCTGCTCACCTTGCTTTTATTTGGCTTTTTCTAGCAGCTGCCTCACTAGCTGTCATGGGTTCAGGAAGAGTTGAAGGGACAGGAGAATTCTTGGGAAAAACAAATTTGAATCAATTAAAAAACAAAAATCCTGAAAGAAAAAAATTCATTCCATATTGAAGAGGTATGCTTGGATTCAAGACCTCCACGTGTTACAAGGCTTCATGCAGAACTCAACAGATGTAGATGAAAAAGGGTTTAACTTCACAGTATCTCTATATCCTCTCAAAGTGTTGCAGAAGTTAAGTGGGACCTGACTGGTCTGACTCTTTTTTCAACTGCTTCACTTCATTTACACTGCCAACTATCAGCACTAAGGTACGTGTTCTCCAAGCACTTTTGTGTGACTCCACAGAGACTTACTTCAGCCTCAAGCTCTAAAGCAAAGCCCAATCTTCTGAAGAAACTGTTCTTAGCACACTCTGCTCTTCCACCACAACACAGATTCCAGACAACTATACAGCGCCAAAGCTTCGATGGGCTTTTACCTTACCCCCACCTCAGTCACATTCCTGAATGAATCCCACATCACCTAGACCCTGTTTTACAAGGAATATGGCAGTTTGGGGCAAAGGAGGAAATCCATCATCTCTAATGGCAAATGCACATAATGAATGCAAATCTATATCTGGTCACAAATAATACAAACAGTTCATTATCAATTATTTCAAGACTTCCTGGTTTGTTTTAGTCTGTGTTTCCAAAAGGCAACACTCAAACTTACTGAGAACCTCCTTCTACAATGATAAAGGAAACAAGGAATTCAAAGGGATCTCAGAAAACTCACTTGTCTGCCTCTGAAGACAGACATTACTACAACCTGTTGTAAATTCAATTTTGAGATGGATTGCTCTTGATACTTGTCTTGAGACTCACTTTATAATACTCAGCAGTAGCTAGATGTCCCCAAATTCCACTGCACTGCAGATGTCATTACATCTGTGAAGCAAGAGATGTCAGAGAGCAAGCTCAGACCCCCATGGAAAGCAAGGGTAAGAAGGCAGGCTGACTCAACTACGGCTCTGTTTGCTTTCCAACTCACTCTAGTCCTTCCAATGCATTAACACAATTGCTAAGGATGCCTAAGTGAAGGGCTTATCCATGCTCTTGACACTCCATTTACAACATTAAGCCTTCTGTGGTCAACAATGTTAATACCTGAAAATTTCATACTGATTTTATTAAGAGATAACCGACAGCTAAAATACTAATCCAGGTACTGGTATGGTATCAATACAGTCCATGAAGCTATGCCCTCAAAATTAAGAGCATATTTCGTTTACAGAGAGCTCATACCTCGTGCACACAACATCAACCTGATGTGTTCTCTGCTCTGTGTTCCACTTAGGAGCCAGGCATGGCAGAATTGATGTGATCTCTCAGCTCATCTGACAGACTTCTCAGTACTACCTACACTGTGATACAACACACTGAAAGCACAGAGGGAACTCAAGAGTACTTACGTTAATATTAGACACTGGACACTCCTTTTTGGCAATTTTAAAGGCAAAGTAAGATACTTGAAAGATATCAGGTCTCTGCTCTTGATCTGGTTCAAGCATATATCCTGCAAAAATTGATAAGACTTATCACTGCTAGATTACAAAAAAGCCTGTTGAGACAGTATGCTACCAGCAAGGAAAAAATCCAGCAGTTGCATCAAATCAGCTTTCCACCCTAACCATCATCTACACTGTTATCTTGGGTTTGAGGGATTTTTTTAATACTTTTTGTAAAGTCAAGTAGTTTACAGGGTCAAAAACAGCTGTAGAACATGTATGCTGCTTGATAAGCTGACATTCAGCTGTGCAAAAGGGAGCTAAACTGAAGTAGGAATTAGTAATTGCAGAGAAAAACAACACAAAATCAACTCACCAAACTAACATATTACAAGATTAAAACAAAATTCCATGTAGCTAAAATGAGATTGACAGCTCTTACTATTTAATGCTAAGACTTTTGTCTGTAGGTTTCACTGACTGTGAACAATTTTGCATATAAAAAACCACAGTTTAATGAAAAAAAGGACCTTCCCCTGACAAGACACACAATTCCTGATGCTCCCTCTCAAACATTTGCTTCCCAAATTAAAAGGTTCAGTGTTTTCCCAAGAAATTGAAGTTACTTGATACTGTCTCAAATATAACACAGTACACATAACCAGGCAATCTTGCCTCGATAACCAGAGAACCTAAATAAACAATAAAATACACGACCTAAAAAAACCTAAGGTTCTAAAAATATGTTCTGCTATGAAGTAAATCAACAAACGATGATAATAAAACATCTCACTTGATGAGCAAGGTGAACTACACTTGCCAAATGCTCAGTACAACAGCCAACCTTACACATCATTTTACAAAAAAATTCTTCATAGGTGGAAAAAATAATTTTGGACAGATCATAGAATTTTACCCAAAGCCATTATTTCATGTCCTATACAGTTCCACTGCAAGTTTAAATTTCAACAGATTTTACAAAATAACAGATTCCAGCACTCAGCTGCAGCACCATGACATGGAAGCAGGACACTCACTCAAGTGACTTCTGTCACTTGATTCTGAAATGAAAAATTCATGGGGTAGGGCGTGTTCAGCTTGTTCCTCCCCAGCCCCTGCCTTGTAAAAGAGCAGAGATGAAGCCACAGTCCCTGAAATACCTTCCACGACCAAGTGCAGCTTTTTATTACTTCCACTCCAAATGGAAAGAAGGGAAGTTTACATAAGGACATTCTGCCTCACCCACATACACTCCATGTCAGTATTGCTCATCCTGGCACAGCCATCCATTGAATTAAAAAATCTGCATTCATACCTAGGAGAAAGGATTAAAACCCATACTTTTCTAAAGAAAACCTAACACTGACAGAGGAAAGTACTTAAGTAATTTGAAAATTCATCTCATTTTGTCACTATTGGCAGAAGACAAGTGCTTACCATAAAAACAGCTGTTTCTCAATTATCAATGTGCATTCAAAAAGTGGTTTGGATTTGGTATGGCCTATTATATAAAAGCATAAACTACATGGTCAACACATCCATAACTTAAAGTTACAAGAGCTCCTATTCAAACCTTTTGAATTTTTCATATGCTGTCCATCTCACTCTTTCAAGTGAGGCTACTCTAAGTTGAAAACAAAGACAATACGCTGATGATTACTGCAAATATTAGTTCTCACATCTCTGTGCCTCAGTAACAGATGAATCACAAGCCTCGGAGTTGTTTCTTGGCCAAAATTTTCCTTCACACACTTCATGCTGCCAAACTTTTGCCAGAGTTTGTGTCTGACACTTAGGGTTGCACAAGATTTTCCAGACTTTTGTTCCAGTATAAATCATGCAACTACTATTAAAATTCTCCCCAGTGCAATTAACCTCAGCACACTGATGTTGCCATGCTAAAGCTGCACTTCAAATTTCTCTAAGCACAACTGTCCAACTTGGACAGAAAATACTGTCAACACTCTGACCCTTCCACAGAAAATACACACTTAAGGGCACAAAGAATTAATAAATAGAGCTAAATAATAAATACAAGCAGTCTCTGCATTCCCTCTATTCCTTCGGGATTTATGGACACCTAAGGAAAAAAAATCATCCTTGAGCCCCAAAGAAACGAAAAGGTTCCTGGAGCTTCAACAACTCTCTTGGGGGACTGAGAGGCACAGCTGAACGTGGCAGATCTTGACAGCAGTGGTGCTTAGCAGCACTTGCTGTGCTTTGCTGGCTTCATGAGATGGAAGAGTTGCTGCCAGGGCCTGTGTACTTACTTATCAAGCAGTGAACGCTGTGGGAGTATCGCGAGCCATCCGGGATAGTAAAGTTTCCATCACAAATGGCAACCTGGCTTTCTCCAAAGGGAAGGGAAAAGAAGCACAGCTTATACAGCAAGCAGCCCAGCGCCTGTAAAATAAACACAAGCCCTGTGAGGGGATGAGGGCCAGCCCGTGCTACGACAGGGCAGCTCTAATAGGATGCTGCACCCTGGCTACAGTGCATGTTCACACGCTGTGCAGGAGCTGCACTTGGGAACACAGCTGACGTGACAAGCTGATGGATCAAGAGCAGCTCTAACAACACTTGCTCTTCCACTTCTTCCTGTAGCACACCAAGTACAAAACCAGAGTGCACCAAGAGCTGCATTTGCAGTGTAGTATCACCACAGATATCACCATGCTTTGCACTAAACTCCTTTTTGTTTCTTCTCTGCACATCCACTAATAAAAACACCTTTCTTGATCATGCTGGCAACAGGTTTCCCTAAAAAAATCACTGGAGGCTATCAAGCAGAAACTAGAGCCAATTTAAGACATGTTCTAAATCGCATCCCTCTTCCTTTAAACTAAAAAAGGATCAAACATAGGATTAATTTTATTTACAAAAATGTAACTACCCAAGATATCTCTACTCTTCTGTGTTCTATAGCTGTCCAACATATTTAATCTTCCAGTAATTAATTTTTCAGTCAGTCAAAGCTGGTTTTAATTCTCCCCTTCCTTAACCAGTCCCATACATCACACTATCCAATTTTTTGCTTACCCAGATATCTGCCTTGGTAGTAATTGGCTTTCCTCCATACAGATTGATCATCTCAGGAGCTCTGTATGATAGTGTAGTGTACCTAGCAACATAAAACACAGAGGACATAGCTAAAAATCTTGTCTCAGAACTGAGAGGCTGCTTTCCCGATCCGCCATGCACACACCAATCACACGAGTTTCAGACATGCACCTGGAATTATTGTCTTGTGTGACCCAAGTCATTACTGCATTTGCAGCATCACAAATAACACCTGGAGCAGCAGTATGACCTGTCATACACCAGAACAAGAATTAAGTCAGGTAAAATTCGCTCTTAGCATTACTCCCCCAAAGCACAGACTTTTGCCGGAGAGCCCGTGCATACGCAGCCAGGCACCTGACAGGGGGTAACTGCAGAGTCCTACAAGGGCTCTCCCTATCTCACACAACCATACACAATGCAGATTTCAAAACACTAACATCCCAAAACAACTGCTAAACTGGGAGCTCAAAAACTTCAGAGCTGGAAAGAGCCTGTATCACTCACTTCATGGCTTGAAAACAAGCAGCCTGTATTTACCCCTCTGCAGAGTTAGCCCAGAAATGAAAAACCAAAATAATACATGCTTTCAAGAGTGCGTCTCAGGAAAGTTGAAATATTTTTCTTATCAGCCTTAGGAGAACAGACATGGACCATACTCTGCAAATGAGACTCTATATTTATCCATTGCAGGGCTTATTTACACCAGTTCTTGGTATCTTAGCAAGTATTTTCTTAGCAGTATTAAAACAGCACAAATTAAAAATATCCAACACCTAAAATGGCCAGGAGCCATTTTTGACACATATTTTTGAACAACTTACTTGCACATTTCCCAATAGTTTTATTTTAAGAATCTCAATTTTGAAAAACAATCTGTGAATAAATGGAAGAAATTTTATCAAATAGTTCCAGTCTTTTACTGTATTCACACCAAAATAAATTCAAGATCAGCCATTAATTTCAATTCATTAGTGATACATGCACACCACACTATAATACATGGAATTTCTATGCAGCACAGTCATTGTTTATGACAGATCACCTAAAAGTAAACTTACTTTTTAATTTCTTCTTCTACCATATTAACACCATCTTTTTGAGGGTTCAGGTATTTGTTAGTAGCACTGCCAAAATCACAGAGAACGTAATTCCCGTTATCATTTAACAATAGATTCTCCACCTTGAAAGAAAGTCAACACACAAAAAGTAGGTTAATACAAAAGCATTAACTTCCAGGTTAAGCGTGACTCAATGTTCTCACACACAAACAGGAAGTTCTCCAAAAAATCAACTGCTAAACTTCATTTTAGCAATAAATAATGTCCTAGGGTTACAATTTTTTTACAGCTCCACCAACAGCAAGCTCCCATCTAGAAACCTCCTGTATCCTCAATCCTTTTCAAGCAGATCACTGATTTTAGCCTGGATTTTCTTACAGTGAAGGTCATACCTTCAGATCCCGGTGAACTATAGGTGTTTTGCACTGATGCAACCGGGCAACAGCTTCACAGGTGTCACAAAATATTCTCATTACTTCTGACTCGGTGAAGCCTGTCTGCAGCCTCTGGTTCATCTGGTTCACAACCTGCCCAGCTAAAGAAACAGGAGAAATTTCTTTCACGTTATTCCCATCAAGTACAGAAGTAAAGACCTAGTTAAATGCATTAAGCCCACAAATATGATGCCAGTATGTTTTCCACAGTTACTGTATTTGAGCAAAACAAACCTGCTTTTCCAACTGCACACTCTTGTATTGCCCTAAACGAAAAGTTATTGGCTCAAATGAAAACAATCCTGTCTGTGTGGCTGAAATGTTTTTGAAACCAACCACTGCAAACAAAAAGCATCCATCACACCAATATGTGACCTCAAAACTGTCTCTTGCTCTAGGATCCCAAACTCTGTCAACCAAATCAGTTCATGAATTCATTCTCTAGACACCCTCTCTGTCTTTCTGGGAGACAAAGGAGGAAGAAAGGGGAGGCAGGGAAGGAAGGAAGCAAACAAAACCCTGAACCCATCCTCCAAGGACAAAGATCTCTCCATTTTCAGAGGCTGCTTTTAAGGTTGGATATCAATACACTCCTGTTTCTAGCAGTAATTTTACCAGACACCACTAAGCTCTTCCTACCACAATGCTCACCACACACTGAGATGAAGTGGGATTCTTGCAGAGACACAGCAGGACCTTGATGGGCACTCTGTCAAACAAGGATGCTTAGAACACTGAAAGCCAATCACTGTCAAATGATCAGACAGCTGACATCCATGGGGCTATTCACCAGGATCATTAGGGAAAGAAGTACTACCAACAAGGAGTCACAACTGAGCTCCCACAAAGATACAGAAATTCACGAATACAAGCAGGGTAAAGGACCAAAAATGCAGCCTTATTTATCACATACTCTTTATTCCATTCCCCGAGACGTACATTAGGGTTGTCTTCGGCTCCTCGTGGTACAGATTGCACAAACTGTAATGCTCACTGCTGCTGCAGCAAATATAACCCACGTACACCTCAGCTCAGTATTTGTTGAGCAGTATAGACCATGGGATGGGTTCTTTCTAGGCTCAAAGTATTTACTTGGTACTTGCAGCACTTAACCCAAGTAATTGGTGATACTGGAACAACTTCCATCTCATACTAGCAGCACTCAGTCTCCCTAGATTTTAAACCAATTCCACAAGTTAAACTCACTGGCAAGTTTATTCCACAAATATGTGACCTGGGGGGAAAAAAAGCCCTAAACAGACAGTCCCTGACTTAGGTATTGTTTCAAACAAAGTTACATTGTCTAACAGAAACAAAGGGCTAACATCTTTTTGGACAGCACTATCAACCTTGATTATGCGCATTTGTAGCAAATCACCTGTCAGGTAAAGCTTCTTCAATGCTGTCATCTAAAACAAAAATAGCAGAGGGAGAGGAGTGGTGAAAATCTGCTGATCTTCCCTATCGAGTTGTGTTCCAGGTACATGTTATTTAGCACCACCAGCAGAACAGCACAACTGCACTTCATACCTGGAGAATTAATTTCCCTGTTTGTAACCATACTTCATTATGAAGCTTTGTGGAACTTTTACATTTTGCCCAGTGCCTAGGTAAGGTAGCAAAGCCAACAGGAAAGCGAAAGGAACTTGCTGGATTCCAGCTGTGACACACAGGTGTTAACCTGTTAGATTAAGGGAAGTTTTAAGTAAAACCACAGGTGATAGCACAAACATTTTCCTCTGGAAACCTAGGCAATGACTCTTACCTCGACAGTACTCCATGAGGATGAGCACCTCCCACACGTTATCACTTAGCGAGTTGACAGCACAATCCAAATAGCTCACAATATTCTTGTGCCCAGATAACTCTTTCTGAAAAAGAAAATGCACATTACACTTCAGTACTGGGAAAATAAAGAGCCATTTTCAGTTGCTGCTGCAGCACTGGAATAAATTGCTTCTGCTTGGGAACCAGATGTACTGACCAAAGAGAATATACACATTGGATCTGAGGTATCAAATACATATTTGAGTAATCCCTTCAGAAATTAATGATACATGAACCTAAAGCCAACATTAGCTTCTGTAAGTACTGGTGTAAAATCAGGACCACAGGATCGAGACCAAGAGGTGTCTAGAAACATAGGAGAGGCATTTGATGTGCGTACACTAGAAACCGACACATTCTCCAGTTCCAGATAACTTGGCCCTCTTACCATGATGGTGATTTCTCTCTTGCAGATGTTGAGGTCTGGCACATTATTGACACACATTCGCTTCAGGGCACAGCGGGTCCCGCTGGGGGTGCGCACCAGGAACACAGTTGAGAAGCCACCTGGAGAACACAAGTGCAAAAAGAAGCAGCTGCTTGAGTTTCTTGGTATTTCTCTAGTCAACATCACTACATGCTAAGTAGTACAACAGTAGAACAACAAAGACTACGTCTGTCATTGAGTGACCAGTCACAAACACCTCAGAAGTTAAATATTGGTTACCTCAACCTATTTCATTGAAACCAACTATTCATAACAAAACCACCCAAGTCTTACTATTTTCTTACAACATTACATGAAAGCATTAGAAAAGCATTTTCATATTCAAATGAATTCATAAAGCACAGAAAAACTACGCATTGAGACATCAACCCTGCAGCACTTAAGAGTCATTCAAAAACCTCAATCAAGTCAAGGTACATTAATTCCCTAAACCCACATTATAATATATAAAAAATAAAATATTTAGAAAAAGACTTGAGAGACACTGTATAAGTCATGTGACTTTTCAGGTTAGCTTCAATCGCCTCCCTGGAGCCCCAGACACCGTAAGCAAGCAGCCCTAGAGACCTGTTTTTATTTAAACCACAATGAATGTGTGCATAGTAGAATTAAGCATTTTCTTACAACCAGCCCTACCAGGAACATTCTCAGTCCAAAAGTGGCGTGAACTGGGAACCACACAGTTGAGCCTACTTCCCAGTATGAGGTTTTTTTTCTCTCTTCACTGGTAGAGAAGAATCCAGGAGGCAGGAAATACACAAGTGAAACAACCTACACAGAAAGTACTTCCCAATGCTCAGGAAACCCAACGCTCTGCTGTTTCAGCTGCTTCCTGTTAGTCCTGCCTGCTGCTCAAGGAGGCCACACTGCATCACCTCAAGGCTCACATGCACAGCTTTCCCACAGTTACAGGAAATCCACCTCACAGGAGGGCTCATGTAAATCCCAGCTTAAGTGCTGTCTGATCCCAAGCCAACCAGCTCCATAGGAACTCTGTACTAGGGCAGGAACTTGGGTACATCATCAGGACACAAATATGTGAATTAAAACGATTAACTACTCAGATAACCAGGCAGCCAATTGAAATGCACACTTTCATGGTACCCAGTAGCACCTGCAAGCTGTGTTTATTAAGTATAATGTGCCTCATTTGATGCAAGCCTCACACGCTTGAGCAAACAAGCACGTAATCACTGCCAGTCAAGAAGCTAGATTTTATTAAATAATTTCTCTTGAAGATTAAGTATTTATTATTTCTTAACTTAATTCTCATTTAGTCAAATGACATGCTGGGCTATCAAAGCAGAATTACTGCCAAGTTGAATTCAACAGCCTCACCCTAGTTTATATAGGGCCTTCCTAAAAAATCCACAGGACACCCACTCTTAATAGCTCAAATTCTTGGCACTGAACTCTAGCTGGGACTGAAATGATCCAAGAGGGCTCCAGCCTGGGGAATTCTGCCAGAGTGATATGCAGACCTTCATTAACAGAAGAGTTTTTGTACTCTCCTCACAATAAAACTACCTGTTTTTTAAGCACTAATATTTGACCAAAAAAGATGAAGCAGTAGTCAGATAAAGCAAGAGACGCATGATTATAAGGTAATAATCACTTCTTGACTTTTAACCAGTTTTTATAGCATTGAAATTCTCTCTGACTAGCAGTAAGACGAAACAGAACTCCAGATTTCAAGTTTCCCTGTGTACCTGTTCTGATGTAGCCTGAGCAGACGTGTCTAGGCAGAGCCCATCAGTGGAAAGCAGAAAAAAGCCCCTAAATGCTCCGTCGAGTGCTGCTCTTGCCATTAGGTGGCGATACAAGCCAGCAGTTGAGCCCTAGGGACTGAAAAAGCAGACCTGGTGCTGTTTTGGCAGGAAGCAGACCCCTGACCTCGAATGGTTTTCCATCAGTAAATACCGCCGCTATAAAAATCCTTTCCTCCAGGAGACAAGTGGCACAACCCTGAGCAAGACCCGACTTGATAGCAGGTGAAGTGTCCTGCTATCTGCTCGTGGGGCTTTCTCACTGCTCCCCTTCCTGTTCTCCCCCCATCCCAGGGCCCAGCATGGGGCTCAGCTGCTGTCTGGTGTTCAACACAACAAGGAGCTTCATCTTTCAGTCTCTTACTTCCACCAAGATCACTCCAAACAACAGCCACACTGCACTTGCCCCTGGAATGCTTAGTAAGAAGCCTCTCTACAGCATCTATAGTTATGTAAGCCAACACTCAGCAGAATTAAACTCCTTAAAAAGCTCACACGCCTTTCTTTCCTTGAACTGTCTCTCTGTCACCTTAACTACGTGCTTTTGGGATCTTATTATCAGCTAACCAGCAAGGATTTGGGCTTTTTTCTGGGCTAGTTATGTTGTTTGTTCTTAATGAAATTCTACATCAGCCACACATGTTTGGTTTTTTCCTATGTGTATTTAAGGTCAACCTTGACTAATTTCACAGGCTGCAACATGCCATTTACACTTTATCATGTTACATTCCTGAAACTCCAACCAGGAAAGAGCGGAGCTGTCAGAATTCTAACTACCCTATTTGCTTACTCAGGTAAAACAAAATAAGGCCAAAAAATCTTCCAGGAACTTCACCATCTTTCAGACTGCCAAGAGCCATTTTGTGGAGACGGTCTAGAAACATTTTAACAAAGATACTTCCGATAAAGTTAGGCATATTACGTATATGCAGACAATGCTGGTTTTGAAATCATACACATTTTTTTGAAACATACAAAAGCACCAAATGCTGTTTCTCCAAGCAGTGAATCCCTTGGCTACTTCTTTAAATCTCAGACAAACAGTACACAACTTCTGGCACAGAAGGATTTTACCTCTACAGTAACACACAGCAACCACCAACCACATCTCTTAACGGCTGAAACAGGAATGGTAGCTACTACACTATAAATGATTCCTTACACATCCATCACAACTCGGCTGTTTCGGAGAGGTGACTGAGTTTTAGCATCCATTCCCATTCAGACAAATAAATACTCAAAAATATGTTTTGATAAAGCTAATGATTATATAAAATTACATTTTCAGATACAGTATTTACAACTGCTTTTTCTGTACATTTCAGTCATTCTGAAACAAACGAAAGAATGAATGAAAGTCATTCTGAAATGAATGAAGAAATAAATGCATAAACATAGAGAGATCCTAGTCAATCTCATGTGCCTACACAATATTAAGTTGCAATATGAATATACAATTAGGTATTTAGGAACTTCCTCAACAACTCAATATAATCTTGTGTTCAGGAGGACACTTTTTGAAGACATAAAGCCATGGAGCTGTGAGCCCTAAGAGGGTTCCAAGGCCAACGTGACTGTCTCCATCAGAGCACAGTTCCACACTGGCTTTACAGTCCCTGTGGAAAGCTGTTCTTAACAAAGCCCAACAACAACCTAAAGGATAGTTTATTTCTATCCATGAAGCCTGCTGCCAAGTGAGGCTCTCAGCTTCACATGACCTTGGTCAGGGAGATAGCCTTGTGTCCCTCACCACAAAGCTAGAGAAACAGGGTCAAGTGCAATTATTTCCCTGTGACCCGTTTACCCACACATATCCTGCTCACTCTCTTCTTCCCCAACTTTGCACCAAGACAGCCATCCATCCACAAGCTAATTTCCTTTAAAATACCAGGTCAGGCTTTTTGGCGTTCCAGATTGAAGCTGTGCAGCTATTTTTGACAGCAAAACCTTTAAAAATGCACAGAATTGAAACACTTGAATTTCTCATCAGATTCCAAACACTGTGTGATTGTTGAGGGAGAACCCTTCAATTGAAACTTAAAATGCCTTTTACAAGCTTTATGAATTTTTTTTCATGAAACATTTAGGTTTTGTCCCAAGTTTCACCAGAGAACGAAGCCACAGTTATGTCTTCCAATTCCTGAAGGGCCTCCACATGACAATATGAGGGGCTGTCCTACTACAGTGCAACACATCTTCCTGCAGCAGCTGGTGGGTCCCTCGTGCCACATGCCAGCTTCCACACTGCAGGCTGAGGAGCACCCAGTGTTCACCATCCCAGAACACTGCCACACTGCTTGCTCCAACACCGCTGCCTCAGTGCCCTTTCCCTGGCAGCCCTGAATATTCCAGACCCTGGGAAGGTGCCATCGTGCTGGGGGGCTGCCAAGCCAAGCCATAACACCTGTGTGTGTGCTCACTGCATCTCACTGAAAAAGGGCAGCGTTAACTAACACCCATCACATATACACCTTTCTGTACATTCACATCTCTGCTTTTGTGTGCCTGCACACGGGCATGGATATTTTTACTGAAGCCTACCTCACAAGCCTCAGGCATGAAGGCTCTGAGACACAGCTCCACCCAGAAGAACATCTGACAGATGTTGCTCCCATTCTCCAAACCAAAACCAGAAATAGCTCCCTACCCCTAAAATACTCCATATTTCTACACACACATTTCAGTGTTCAGTATTTCTCCACTTTATTTTAAGCATGCAGACAATGCATTCCAAGGGACATACCACTGCTCCCTTTCCCACTGCCCACACAAATTCCCACCATGTAACAAGCTGCCTATCAGGGCTAGTTTGGACAAGCAGCACTGTTTTTCTCAAATCGGTATCCGCTCCTACGGCAGCACTGGGAAAACAGCAGCTGTGAATCACATCCCAGCAGGACATCCCTGTGCAGCCACAGCAGGCAGGTCTGCCACACACTCCTCTGCTAATGGCACTGTTACCCTGCCACAGGCATGTATGCTGGATTCCAGTTCTCCCAGCAGCAGCTGTGGGTCAGCCTCACGGAAAAGCTCTGACAGAAGCACCACAGACTGCCTGGGGGAGTCCAACACATTTAAGTTACTGAGCAAGCTGGGAAAGCTGGATTAAGGTCTGCTATAGACTTTTGTGAAAAGAGCTGTTCTTATTAACACCGGTGCACCCAAGGGCCAAACTCGAGATGCTTTTGATATGGCCCAGTGAACAGCAACAGGAACAGAGTTCTGTGTCCTGCAGTGCAGCCCAGCATCACCCACCTGCTTCTTCATGTCCAGGCGACTTGTTAGCCATGCTT